CTGCTGTCGGTCCAGGCAGTGCCACTGAAGCAGATTAAATAGATATTTAAGTTTAAATGTGTTCACGAAATGCTTTCTAAAGTTTCCTGATCATTTTGTTTATGCTGAAGTAACATTTCCTGGGACTCATTTATTAGGCAGCACTGTTCTTTTCTTTTTTCTCTCTTTTTTTGTTTTTGGATGACTCTTGCTGGCTGGAGGCTGGTCAGTCCAGAGCCTGACGTGGCCGCTGTGCCAATTTATTAGCCAGCTCTTCTCCCAGATGCGCAGCTGGCCAGCCAGCGGACAGATCTGGCACCGTCCTCAGATTTGCCCGTCTTCCGCCCTGCTTGTTTGAAAACAAACTGACCTTTATCTCTGACAAATATTCAAAGCAGTCTGACTAGCAGGTGTTCCTAAATTAGAATTTAACGAGAGCCTGGCCAGCAGTGTTAACGATAGGCTGACTCACACCGACCGTTAGCGTTTTAGAGATAATGTTACAGAATAATTAGGAACATATGAGTGTCCACGACTGCTCTGAGAGAACTTGTCTCAGAAGGTATCTCTTTATGGCACCTCAGTCCCACACTCTGCAATTGCGGGGATCTTCCATCTCAACTGATTTAATTCTAGGTGAAAACGTCTCCATTCATATGCAAATAGCTTGCAAAACATTCCACCTCACACCTCTCGTCTCCAAATTGTCACTTTTTTCTGCTCCATACTAAACTGGTCTACACTCTATGAATAAATGAATAAATCCTTTTTAAAAGTCATCATTTCACTCCGCTGACCGGCTCCTGAGGATTCCAGATAACACGAGGGTAGTGGAAGATGACTGATAATTTGATATCTGATTGGTTTGGAAATGTTGTGTTTTTACATTCTACGATACTGACACACAATCACCAATAAATACATTTCAAAGTAGCTTTGTGCAATGCAGGGTAACAGAATATGGTCAGCACAGAAAAGCGTGATGAGGAAAACATCCATGCAAACTGATTTTTCATGTATAAAGTCGGACACTATTTATAACCTTCAGCTCCCCCTGTGCCTCCGTCGGCTCTCTTTGCAGATGGATTATACATGAACCCAAAACTGTAAACCTTGCGGTCCTAAGCAGCAAGCTGTGAACCTGAGATATTTATCAATTTGTACATTATAAACATAATGTGCCGTAGAAATATTGTTAAAGTAAAAAATGTAAAGAGAAACTGAACATTTCTGAGATTTCACTTGCTTTGCTTTGGTGACCTTTCAACCCTGAACATGAGAACAGATTTCAGTCAGACCACTTACATTTGAAATGTTGCATCACAGCAGCAAAAACAGTCTCCAAGCGCATCACATCCCACAAATATGATAAACACAGAAACTGGACGGAGCTGAAAGAGAAGGAGTTACAGTATTATTTTATTTTTTGCTTTTCATGTGCACATTGAAAAAAAAGTGCACATCCAGCAAAACCAGTGAAAAAATGTAAAGCACACGATTCTTAATCAGCGCTGTCATTAACTGAGCACATGCTGTGTACAGCCATTCATCATCTTTACTGTTCTCTCAGTCAAGACTTCAGACCTCAAGATTTCACATTTACTGATAATTTTAATCATTCGACACGCTTCACTTGGAATATGTAAACTAATGAGAACACTTGTTTTTGGGTAAGTCATCACATCAGATTGAATCAGATCACATCATCACGTAAACATGATGATATCTTGTATAATGTGGTGTATATGTTATATTAGAAATCATTATTATTTCTGCAGATCATATCAGTAAGGAAGCTGAATAAATATTGATTGATAACGGGGTCGGATTAAATACGCGTGCACTTCTTCTCACTCCTTTTCGATATGGAACTGAATCAGGTGAAGCGATATTAAAATGTATTTTGCTTTATTCTGTAAAGCGTTTTTTTTTCCCCTTTTCTACGCTAAACGAACTTCTGTGTATTGTTTACATGATCGGTATTGAACACAAAGCCATGTTGTGCAGGAGTTGCGGATGGGGGACCGTTTGGGGGGGGGAAGGAAAAGAGAAGAAGCAGCACTTTCTTTAATAACACTTATAGGAAGTCTAGAGTATCTCTAAAAATTTATTGTGCTTCTTGTTTGAAGAAAGAATCGGTGTAAGCGCATCTGAAAATCCCGCTTTTATCTCTAAAAACCTACGAAAAGGATAGAACGGCTTTTAAGTAACTACACTGTGGAGTCGAGGGGAAACGCAAACATCTAGTTTCTATTCTCCAGTGTTGATCTTTTCTACTTTAATAAGTAAGATTCCATTTTTGAAACGGCTTTCTCAAAACGAAATGTGGCTGCCTTTATACTGTCTGTTTAATTATGTTCTATAAAACCAACATCAGGTACAAAACTAAATAAAATTAAATAACTTTAAAATTTGCATCACTGAATAAATTTTGTGACACAAACCGTAGTAAACTTAATAAATCATGTTTTTGAAATTCTGTCTTGAAATTGATGTTATTGTATTCCACATTGGTGTGCAGTAATATACCAACAGTTTTAACAATAACAGCAGACTTGGCAAACAAACAGGAGACGAAGAAAGGGTTTGATGAATGTTAGCTACGATGAGCTGGTGAGCGTGATGGGAGGGGGGGAGGCGGGGGGTGAACTTGAAGATCCAGATGGAAGCAAATGGAGAGGCAGCGAGTCAGACCTGGCACACATTAGAGCTCTGTGCTCCAGGGGAAACCACGAGTACAATTAAGTAGATGATGTTTTACACAGTAATGGCTTTCCTCCTGTCACTGTTCACATAATGTCTATTTTAACACCTCATTAAGCTTGGTGTTCAGTCTTGAAATCATTCTTTCCCAGCAAATCAAGAGGAAAAACCCTTATTTCATTGGCAGAAGTATGTAGCTTCTTGAAGCCTCTTTATTTGTTTGTAATGCAAACATAATTTAAACATAGCAGCGAAGGGCTCGGTAACTCATTTCAGGACGGTATCATCATATTTGTGAAAAGTGTTGCAGCATGCACAGCTGCACAAACATCCATCTGGATGGAGGCGAGGGATAGTTTCTCTTCCCTCTGGCATTTTTTCCCTCTGTTTTCTAAGACTGAAAAAATAAGAAAAATGCTGTGAAGGGTGTTTTTTTTGCAGTGCATCAGGGCCAGAGTGCTATGTAACAGCCATCTGTGTGGATCTGACTGTAACAAGCAGACCTGCGAGAAGATCCTTGGTGGACAATTCAATCCAGGAATGGCTGAGTGTCTATAACAGAAATAGGGAGGGGGGGTTAGCATTAAATGCTTCACGTGGTTGGCAAATGTTACAGTCAGTGCAGCGGTGGCCAAAACAGCTGCTTAGATTTTGTCCTTTAGGTAGTTGGACAGTGACTGATGCTGAGATTTATGTGGTTTTTCTAAGTTTCACATTCACTGTGTTAGCATGCACACAAGATGCCATGTTGTTGGAAGAAATCCAGTTAAGAAGGAAAACCAGAGGACATTTTTAAATGTAGGTGGTCGGTAATCATATTCCACCCCGGCCCCTTCCTTGGCTTTAAAACAAGGCTGGCATCTTTTAAATGTGTTTACAAGGATGAGTAATGGTGTTCCTGCTGACCTGCTGCCACTGTGATACTCTCCCTGTGCCGGGTCTTTTTGTCATCCACACACACACATTTGTTGGAACCCAGATAAACAAAACCAAGACGACGGTCTCTAATAGAAATCGAGCTGCAGTACCCACATTCCAATTAATGAATTCCGTTTTTATGTGTAAAGATCGTGACAGTGAGGTGAGGCTGGCTCCTCTCAAATAATGGATTTAATCCAACTTTACTGTGTTTGTTCCTTTTTGTAGCACATGAAGCAGCTCTCCACCGGCTGGAAGTTCTGGATAAAGGGAGCCTGAAGCTAAAAAACTAAATGATGTAGAGAAGTAGTTCACCAACCTGACCAATGAAGCCAGCCAATAGGGAAACGACGAGATGGGAAGGGCATTGGGTAGCTGGTTAGCCACCATTGAGCTTTCAGGATAAAAGCAAGGGAATTATACAATTGGATATCATGTCTTTTTTTTTTTTTTAGATGACAAAATAAAAGCATTTTTTAAGAAAGATGCTAAAACAAGTCGCCTATTACTTGGGTGAGCCGCCAAGTTAGCATATTTGTCTGCAGGCTTCATGTTCGTGTGATATAGAAGAATTCAGTTTGAAGAAAGGCGATATTTTTGCAGAAGCTACTGTAAATGTGTATTCACCCTCCGGCTCATTTAAGCATTTTACTGACGGCGTCGCGCGTTGGTGGCATCCCTGCTCAACAGTCATGCAAATTAGCCCTCACCATCCTTTGGAGACGGCTAGAAAGCCACATCAAAAGGACTGATTCTGATTTCTTGTCTTCAAGTCTGCTATGACACAGCACACGTGTAATGGGTATGTGTGTTATTGAATGTTGTATGTGTTCCTTCTCTCCTCACCAGCTTTAAATCAGTCTTCCTGGAGTGAGTTTTATACAAAGATGAAACTGGAAAAAACAGGCAGAAAACATAGAAGATAAAAGTCCAGCGGTGACCTGCTAAGCAGGACTCTGTGATCTGTTTTTAATGACTGCAAGCTGTAATGTTATTGTAGCGACCCCTCTGGAGTCCTGTCCTGTTCCTGACCCTTCACTGATACTTCCTGATAAGAAAAAGAAAAAACTGTAATCAGTGTTTAAATAAATAATGAGGTGATTTGTTTGGAAGTGGTTTCTGTTGTTGTCTCCCGTGTTTTCGAAAATGAAGTTTATTTGAGCTGCTCGGTTTATGAGTGCAGGGCATCCACTCAGGTTATCGCGTTAATCAGCAGCTGAATGATGCCGTAGGCTGTTTAGAAAACATTTTATTCGCACAGCAGCGTGACCGCATTTGTACACCTGCACGAAAAGCAGCTAAATATTTATATTATCTTGTACTAATGTGCCCAATTTTGTTTCTCTGTCTCTTCTCCCTTTCCCCCCCCCTCCCTCTGTTCTGTCCTTTCCCTGCTGCAGGTATGCATTGTACAAAAGAGGGACACCGAGAAGATGTACGCCATGAAGTACATGAACAAACAGCAGTGCATAGAGAGAGATGAGGTCCGAAACGTCTTTAGAGAGCTTGAGATCCTACAGGAAATTGAACATGTTTTTTTAGTAAATCTCTGGTGACTATCCTATGTTTTTACACTTTCAGTGTGGTCGGCTCTGTTTGTGTCGGTTGCCTGCTTCGCCTGTCTGTGCGCTCCGTGCGTCCGCCCTCAAGTGATTCCCAGTAGACGTGTGCACGCTTGCTGTAAAAATCTGTCACATCCTTTAAATAGAAGCACTCTGTTTGAATGTTATGTGTTGCATGTGGGTAAAAAAAAAAAAGTTTAATTAAAGCTTGAACAAATTCTCCTTCAGAAACCAACAGCTATTAACTTAAGAAACGATTTATAGCAGAGAGATATTCTGGGATATTAATTTTGGCTCTGAGCCCATGAAGCACACATTTGATAATTACTGTGGTTTGAAATGACCTCACTCTTCCCTCGAGTATGATATGTGGGTGAATGGAGGCTGCGTTCATTATTCAATGCTCATCTCCGGGCGGGACACATTTCTAAATGTAATTGGGGACCTGGCACGGCATTCACGCCGTATTACACAAAGCACTTTGCTCCTCTGTAATTGGTAGAGCGGTTGTGCACGTGCTCGTCGTCTCCGAGCAATCGCTGCCAGAATATTCCCACGTTCCGTGATGGATTGATTACGCGGAGCGAGACAAAGCCGTGTCCGGGGCTCGTTCCTTACCAAGTTGTGAATGATTTAAGATCAATCTGCAGAATGCATTTGCCTGCTAGATACTCTTACTTCACTACAACAAACTGAGGGCATTTTAATGAGCGTACAGTAGTAGGCCTGTTTATTTTTTATAATTCCCTGCAGGAGTTTATGGCTGCCAAAGCCTTCTGTGTTCTAGTTTTCTAGTTCTGGCTGTGCTGCTCAGCTCACCCTCACTCTCTCTCTGCAAGCAGCACTGTTTTAAATACCCATTAGTGACAAGCATGCTGAACTGTATCTTTGTGGCTACGTGGGATTGAGAAGTTTCACACCTCCTCTCTCTGCATTTGAGATGCTCCAAAAAAATGGCCTGTCCATCTCACCGGGAGCACACAGAAACTCATACTCGAGCAGTTCCTCTCGTTTCCAAGTATAATTGGTCCTATACTCAAAACGCCATAAGTCTTCATTCTAATTGGACCATTATCTTTGACACGTGTTATTTTAGGACGTTGAGGATGATTTTGTAAACAGATTTTGCAGACCTGTAGCGGTATCCGTGCAAGCGGACGGTTTGTGTTTCATCTGCGAGGAGTTTCTGCCTCTGCTCCTAATTAATGGAAGCCAATTGAGCTTTGTCACTTCCACGCATATTAAAATATAATCAAGAGCACTAGTCTTAGTTACTCTACACCCTGAGACTCAAACACGAGTTCCACTGGAAACATTAGTGAAAATTGCAGGGAGGTCATTAATAGCTCCAATAAAATGTGTTGAGAATTCATTTGTGATTATGCCAAAAACAATAAAGTGTTTGTAAATCGAGACGAGCGATTTGAATAATAAACATGTAAATGTTGCTGCTCAGTCACAAAAACGTACATGTGAATTTTTGGTGCTTTTCAGCTGTGATCTGTAAATTGTAAAGTACATGTAATGAGAGCAGCTTTAATGAAGCTGAAAAAACTGAGCCACGCTGCTGAAATTGGACTTGCTAAGCTCGGGCCGCTCATTATCTGTTTTATAAATGGATTAGTCATTAAATGAGGAGAATACAGGATCGTGCCGCCCCCCATTTCTTTGTTTTGTGAGGAAAACAGGAAATGGGTCCAGATTTATTGAAACGCATGTAAATATAATGAATCAGAATCAGAGAGACTTTATTTATCCCCAAGGGGCAATTAAGAGGAAAAAGAGTTTGCACAGTTTGGTCCTATCATCACCTTTATTTTAAAACACCATGTGAACTCTCTTAGGCAGCTCTCTTCTAATTTCTTTAAGTAGTCTTCGGGAATAGTTTTCCAGGCTTCCCGAAGGACATTCAAAGCTCTTCTTTGGATGTTGGCCGCCTTTTGTTTCCGTTCTCTGTCAGAATCCTCTGGAACAGCCGATCTATGACTGATAAAGTTCCAGTGTGCGTTTCCAGGTATGCTTTTACTGCATTGGCAGTTGTTTGGGATCATTGTCATGCTGCAAAATAAAGCTGTTGCCAGTCAGATGTTTTCCAGATGGTACATAGTGGATCAAAATCTGATGGGATTTTTCTGCGTTCATCAGCTTTTGGAGAAAACGGTACAGGCCGAAACGAAGGCCCAAACCATGACAGAGCCTCCGCTGTTTTACCATGGCTGTAGACACTGCTCCATACATGCTGACAGCAGTTTGAACCAGAAATGTCAAATTTTGAATCATCACTCCATAAGAACTGTTGCCACTGACTATCAGAGTAATCCTTGTGTAATTTGACATACCTCAGTCTTTTCTCCCTGTTTCTCTTCATTAAAAATGGCTTCTTGACAGCCAACATTTCACTGAGACCATGTCTCAAATCGGTTATTTGCCAAGTTGTCTGTTATGTGTAGACATAACAGTGGTTCATCTGTCTTTTTTATAATAAATGATTCATAGCTCAGTGTTAATTGGCTTAACAAAACAAGAATAATAGGAAGAAATAAAAATGTTGCTGGAAAAAATGGTGAAACACTTAAAATGACCTTCAGGAAGCCTGAAGAACTATTGCTAAGAAAGTCTGGCTTCTTGGAAGCAAAATATGAAGATATGAGGGTTGGCTCAAGAGTTTCACACTAAAGTCTTGAGCCAACAAGTTGTCAGATCTTTAAAGGAGGAGGATCTTTCACTTGACCTATGATTTCAGCTTGCTTTAAAAAGAGCTGTTATGTGTTATATGGTCTGACCCATTTATGAGATGAGACTGTATCTGGCCCACGAACTAAAATTACAGTCGTCTGACGTATTTTTGTCAAGTCACTCTTGGAAAGAAGTTCCAATGATGACTGTTGGTTGGATCAATAGGGATTCTTGAATGCAGTGTTACCGTTTGAGCATTTTAAGTTGTTTTTGTGATGTGTTGAAATCTAATAATGCCATGAAATGTTTCAGGCAGTCTAACTTTTGTCTAAGTGCAGTAACAGACAGACAAACAAAGGTGTAACAGTGAGGGATCCAGAAGGCAGGAGTACTTTGTCAACAGGCTGTTGCCATTGCTGTTAGATGATATGACAGGCAGATATGTGTAAATATGTCTGGATGCAGCTGTTACCCTGAACTTAAGCAGCTGCGTTGATGTTTTCAAGCGTTCAGGTTTGCAGACGTCTCTGACGCTTAGAGAGCGAGAGAGGTGTTTTCTTGCAAACCTGTATTCAGAAGATTACTTCAAATACAGGTTTGTTTAGTTCCTTCCTTAATAAGCAGTTGGATTTACGCTGGACTGACGGAAACGTCTAATCACAAGAAAGTTCAGATATTTCCCTGAAAGCTGGATGTGAGAACACAGTGACACATAAAGCAAATCAATCTACTGCTTGAGTCTCTATCGCAAGTTTATTTCTGTCCCAGTTTACCAGACGCTTTGTGAGCATCTGTGCGTGACAGGATTGTTTTGCGATGCACCTGTATGCATCGGATAAACTGCTCCATTTAGCTGCTGCGTGATGCAACATCTCAGCCAGGCAGGTAATGAGAGAGGACCGATGAGACGTCTGCCTCATCTTCCCGTCTCCCACCTTACTGTATAGCTAAGAAAATAATTGGTTCCCTGTGTGGGTAGGCTGATCAGACAGTTGCTGGTATCCATAGGCTTATCAAACAGAACCATACGATTTCTGGTCCTTGGAATTTGGGCACTTCGGTGCTTTAATAATGCATATGTGATAGAGCAGCTGAGGGCATTTTGGGAAATGCCTATTTTTAAAAAACAAACACACAAACAGATCCAGCTTACAAGAAACGCCTGTTTTGATAAGCTTCACAGGAGTGCTTTTATTGATACTGTGCCAGGAGGGAGGCAAACAGATAGTCTTAAAAAACGCAGGAAAATCCACCAAACGCCTGTCAGATGAAGATGACTTCCACAATCACACAGAGAGGAGGAGGAGGAGGGGGATTATTATGAAGACAGGAGGTTGTTTTGTCAAAAAAAGAGAGATGTGCATAATATAAGGATTTGTTAGGTTTCCTCCAGCTGATACCTACACAGCCTGGCACGCTGCGTCAGGAAATGGAGGTTTCGCTTTCATTGAGACGTCGTTGAATTCTCCTGTGCGTTTGAACCGCTCCGTCCGTAGCATCACAAGAAATTCATTAAGAAGCGGTCTTCTGAAAGCCCACACTGAATCCCATCAGCCGGGGGAAGACTGCTTTAAGCTGGGCGGATGTCAAGTTTGCAGCCCACAGTAATTGCTGCGACCATTCCCTCGCCGCATAGAAATGATGTGTAGGAGTCAAGGGTACGCTGAATGGATTACCTTAAAGGAGGAAAAATTAACTATCATCTGCTGCACACTCCAAATCCACATAAATCCTTGTAAGGATTTGCAAACCGTGAGAAGATGCCGACTTCCTCTTTTACTCGCAATGTTGGAAACTCCAGAGTGCAGGGGTCCCCACCCTGAAGCAGAGAATAACTAACAGTAGGGTGCAGAAAGGAATTTGATCCCCTGGTCTGTACATCATAGTAAATGTTTGGTTTTCCCTTTAATGCTCCAACCAATTCTCCCTTAAGGAGATGCACCAGTGACCAAATGGACGTACATCACGGCAACTGTTGTCAAAGAGCTTCCCCACTCTCTTGGGATCATCTCGAAGAATGTAAAAGGTTGAAAAATCAAAACAAGGGTGAGTCATCTGGAGCAGCTGCGTGAAGTGTTTTGCCTCATGCATCCTTCCCTCCATCAGAGTCATATAAAGCAAGCGAGAGCAGCTCCGAGGATGGATGTGCTCTCTCCTGTTCGGCCTCCATTAGGAATATTGATTGCAGACCTGGATGGAACAAGGCCTCGGGAGGCCATGGAACAAATTAGCCTCTACACCTCCAGTCAGCAGTTATAACAAGCCCTATGAGGGGCTTTAGTCTTTAAATCATCATCATAAAAGACGAACTGCGAGATCTTTTCTCTAATGCTACAGTAACACGAGAAACAGCAGTGGTCGGAGACTGCTGCAACCGCGTGCTTACAGTCTTGTTGTCTTTGAAATGGTTGCTTTGAAGATGGGGACTAGGCTCGCAGCCACTTGCAGTCAGTTTCTTTCTTCAAAGCGACTTCGGCGCATCAAGACAGTAAGAAAACAGCAATAAGATTAACTGCAAAATTGCATGGGTGCTCAGCAACCCTGCTTTTATATAGGAATATAATCAGAATACAAGCAAATTGAGTTGAATCCCCTATTGCAAAGAGACGCTTAACAGACAAGTTCTTATCAGCATAGACTGACTCAGATTGATTGCAGTGTGTCTGCAATCCTTCGCCAGTCTGTGTGACTACAGTCGGTTTGAGTGGGGTCATGGTTGTTGGAAGGCAGGCTGCCTCCCCACAGGTGTCCTCTGCAATCACTTTGTATTGAAAGTGGTCACATTGGTGCGGCTGAGCCATATTTAATAAAGCATGCTTCCAGGCAATATGCAGACTCAGACACATCTGGGCCTATTCTGGGCTACTTTTGGCACTTATGCCTCAGTTCTGCCGAGTGTTTTGTGGTCTTGCCGTAATGTGGTCGGGTTGAATATAGATTTCTACAAGTATAATAATTATATCTGACTGTAAGTGATAAGCTGGACTAGATGTAGGTAACGACAAGTCATCTGTGGGCCAGATCTGACCAAAATGCCACAACACATCTGACATCTGGCTCATATAAGGTTGACATTTGGTTCAGTTGAGGCAGCCAGACTCAACCTGACTCAAAGTTATAAGTCAAGGCCAAATGTGGCCCAAAGAAAACTGGATGATGAGCATTTACTGCGGTCGGTAAGGTTATTTCGTCCTAGACTTGCCAGCACTAAAGGACTTGGGACTTTTGTTCAAAGTGCCCTACACACACTACTCTTAAAGAAGAACTTTTTTTTTTAGGGCATAGGATTTAAAGTGTACCTTGTGAAAGCAGGCCAGTGGAGGTGTTTTGTCTTAAGGTGAGTTGTTGGAGGCAGTGCTCACTCACACCATTGGAATCCTCAAAGGACCATGCAAAAGTCTTGTGACTGAACCACACGGCCAGTTTGAGCCATCTCTATCATCAACTTTATGTAGGCCATCGAAACTTTGTAGAGCGGTTAGAGCCAACAGAATCACAAGCTCTTGCCTCACTCTAGCTTTTTCCTCAAAACTCATTCCACTGTCTCTCTATTTCCCTCTCTCCTCCCTGCCTCCCCGGGCTCATTTGTCATTGTGGCCTGATTATTTCAGCCTGTTCCTTGTACTCCTTCCAGCCGGCTAACCTTCTTCTCTTAGTCCCCGCAATCGTGGCAACCTAGTCCTGTCCCGGCCATTTCCAGCATGTCCTTCCTCGTGGTTTTGGACAGTCACGGCTCTCCCTAGACTCTTCTCCCAAATAACTGCTAGGCATTCATTCATACTCGAGGGTTTGTGCAGCAATTCCTCTGTGCTCATTAGGAGAGCGGCGCTCAATAAATTATCCTCATCTCAAGTGCAGCAGAAGCACATAAAATGAGATTAGTGGTTAAACATTATGTTGACCGTAGCTATATTACAGTGAATGTCTCCAAGACAAATATGAAAGAGTTAAAGGTTCCCAAATCTAAATTTGTTTTTTGTGTGAACATTCGATCAAATAACTGCATCTTGTGCAAAAATATTAGCTCAAGGCGCCCAAGTCGACTTCAAAACTCTCTGTCCTTTAACGCAGTCTCGGTTTTGACGCATAAAAATAAATAGAAGTAGTTGAATGAAGCAGGCGAAATATTCAAGCCCTGCATAGTTTCCTCTCTTCTCTACAGCAGGGCGATTGCTCTGTGAAGCTGGCGCGCCTGTTTGGATTTTCCTTTTGCAAAGTCACAAACACTATCGGCACTTTGGCTGGCGCGTCCTCACCCCTTAAGCTGCCACCACTGCGACCAAGACCGGAGCAAGTGCCAGAAAGGAAATTGGAAGGATGGATGTCTTCAAATACTCTCTTCAGACAAGTGCTCTTCAACTAATACACCTCACTTTCCTTTCCAGGGTAGCTCAGATCATATTTCACAGCAGGAGAAGCTTTTATTTAAAGTGTCAGAACTGCCGAATTTGTGGATTTCACACTGTGTTTATTTGGAGCAAAGCCCCCCTTAACGAAAAAGAGAGAGAAAACCGTTTGTGTTTCTTCTCCATCCCGTGCTTTGTGAGAGTCTTAAAGGTGACAAGGCTTGTCAGTGCTGGAGCTTTTCATATGCTCCAGTTGTCAGCCTGTATCTGACATCTCCGTGTCACCTCAGTGAAAGCGGGGAAGGAAATGACAAGCAGTCCAAGCCTCTGCAGTCTCGCTCTCTCTCTCTCAGGAGCCCTGATATTTAAGCGGTGGACGAGGGAAGCTGAAAGTTTTGTGGTACGCTGAGATAGCGAGTGCCACCTCAGCGGACGCTCGTGTGTCAACTGGGTTTGAGGAATCGGGCTGTGACAATGAGGTGATAAAAAGGTGACAGTGTGGAACCCCTGCCAAAAGCAAACAACATCCTAGGGCTGGCCATCTGCTGAGGCCAATATTAGTTTTTTTGTTTGTTTTGGGGAGTTTAATCTTAAACAGGTCAGGGCAGCTTTGTGTACTGTGCATGATGTAGGGTGGCTCTGCTGTCGTTTCCTATTGAGTGCAGGCTGCAGTGGCACGGAAGTGTATTGGAAACTTTCTTTGCCCTGTTTTGCAGCACCTCTTCTTTTTTTATTTTTTTTATTTATCCTATCACATGAATGTCGAGGGTGATTCATCAGTTAATCGTGTGGTGTTTTAAGGAGAAGAGAAAAAGCCAGCAGTTCTGCAAATGGGTTTTTCCTTCTGTGGATAAGATTGAATGATTTCAGCCTCTGCAGCAAACTCCCTTTCTCTCTCACGGAGCAGCAGGAAATTGCACCTGAATAGGAGCAATCAGAATGCCCCCACCCCCAATGAGTGTTCACAGCCAAGCCCAAAGATACAGAGGGAACCTGTGAGCTATAAAAAGAAATGGTATCGCCACAGCATCAGAACTTTAATGGGAAAGTAAAGAATTGGCTCAGCGGCAACCACATTAAGCCAAGTTTGATGGAAGGAGTCACCACGGATTGGTGTGTTGTCCCTCCTCTCCGGGTCTATTAAGATATTATTCTGCTTTTATTTTTCTCAGATGAGAGATTAGATTCTGTTGTACAAAAACATTTGTGTTCACCGGTGTGGCTTAATGTTTTGAAGCTGAATTTGTGGAGTGGACTGTTACAAATCCCCACCTGGATCACTAAGAGGCTGTGTTTTAATTTGTTGTGCGTGACCAGTAAGCCTGATTGACAAAAAATGTGTAGCAGGTGACGAGCTAAGTTATTGTCGAGCTTTGATGTGACAGTGACGTCCTCTGTTTTTGCATTCTGTCCGACAGCTGGCATGGATATTATGTTGTGGCTGTGAGGTGTGCATGTGCCATATTTGTGCATGTTTGCATTTGCTTCTGTGCAGATTCGTCCGCCGACCCTTCGTGCTTCTCATCAGCATGCGTGTGTCTGATAATATTTGCACATGTAACGCACTCTGTGTCCTGCATGAAAAGCATACTGAGCATGTTTGCGGTCTTGTGTGCTCAGTCTTTGCGGTTGTTTGCGCAGCATATGTTTTCCCACACTGGGCTGTGACTGAGGGCCGTCTCATCCCACTGCACCCAGGTACTCGTTCCAGGACGAGGAGGATATGTTCATGGTTGTGGACCTCCTGCTGGGAGGAGACCTCCGCTACCACCTGCAGCAGAACGTCCAGTTCAGCGAGGACGCAGTTAGACTCTACCTCTGTGAGATGACGCTGGCGCTGGACTACCTGCAGAGCCAGCACATCATCCATAGGTATTTCTTTTCATTTCATTTCAAGGCCTCCAGCAGCTTTCAAGCTGTTGAAAAGTCTATGGCTATAAACAGTGCATGAAGTGTTCTTTTATATGGAAAACTCTTTCATAAATTTGCCCTTCAAACCCTTCTGAAGGTTGTTTCGTAAAGCAAAGTTAAAGCTGCACCCTTTTTTTTCTGCATAGAACTGCAAGATTGCAGTGGAGTAAAGGTTTTGGAGGTGGAAATAACAAACATATCTATGTGCATAGAGAAATGCAAATATGTCCAGCAGACAAAGTCAAGTAAAAAGGCCTAAGTGTGCACAGTTGGGTCTATAATTATTTAGGAAATTAGACATTTTGTGATTTTGCAGTAGATTTTAATTAAAACAGGTGGGATGTGATTAAAGTGCAGACCTTCAACTTTAATTCAGAGGGTTGAACAAAAGTATTGAATTAAATGCTCAGGAATTCAAAGTCTCCTGTTTTCAGAGGCTCAAAATATTTTTGGAAAGTTGACTTTCAATCAGTCCCACAGCCAGATGAGGTCTGTTTCCTCATTATTCCATGACGAATTATGGAACAGATCATGATCTGACGCATACCACATTATCTATCAAACACTGTGGAGTCAGTGTTGTTCCACTGGCGTGTATGCCTGCCTGTGCAACCTGCTCACTAATGTTTATTGATAATGTGACTGCTGATAGAAGCAGCACGGCTGGACGATGCTTCACAGTGTAAATGGATGGTGACCCAAAGCATACCGCAAAAGCAATCCAAGAGTTTCTTGAGGCAAAGAAATTGGATATTATTCACTGGCCAAGTCAGTCACCTGATCCCAACCCTATAGAGCAGGGGTGAGGAACTCCTGGCCTCAGGGGCCGGTGTCCTGCAGGTTTTAGATGTGTCCTTGATCCAACACAGCTGATTTAAATGGCTAAACTACCTCCTCAACATGTCTTGTTCTCAGAGGCCTGGTGATGAACTAGTCATTTGATTCAGGTGTGTTGATCCAGGGTGAGATCTAAAACCTGCAGGACACCAGGCCTGGGCTTCTCCACCTCTGCTATAGAGCAAAGGTGTCAAACATAAGACCTGGGGGCCAGAATTGGCCCAGTGAGGACTCGCACTGGACAGCTTTGGAAAATGTGAAGTGGGGCAGAGTTTTTAACTGTATTTTCATGAGTGTTACAGCTTTTCCAACTGATAAAGATGGCCATTCATGCTACACCAAAGTAGATAAGTAATAGATAAACAATTAAATGACAGTGTGGGGAAAAAAATCCTCTTTTCCCCATCTATTATTTCTGCTTTTTTCATTTATTTTTTCCCACAGTGGAAAATAAATAAATTTAAAATTCTTACAATTTGAGCCCAAAGAGTCGTTCTGACAGATTTCATTCAATTATTACAGGAACATTTCTTAAAAATGGCCTTTGATTTCTTATATTACTTTATATTATATGTTTTAATATAAAGGGATTTAATGTGACTACTGTTGGGTCATTTGTGCTATATAAATAAAATTGAATTAAATTAAATTGAATAATAAGATGTCTCAGGGGATAAATGTGTAGCTAAACTTTACACTGACAGAAAGGGGAGTTTCACTGGTCCCACCAGTTTTAGGTCATAGTGGGCTGTATGTGACCCACAATATAAAGTCACTCTCTGCTGTAAAGCACAGCACCAGGCAGAAACCACAAACAAACGGGAGACTGTGTATAAAAACAGCTGTAATTCCTAAACAGTTAGTTTGGTGCCTTTTTTAAAACCCTTGAATAAAAGCAGAAAGTCTGCACTTCAATCACATCGTTATTGTTTGATGTATAATCCACTGTGGTGGTGTACAAAGGTACAAAAATATGACATTGTAAAAATGCTTATGACTATATTTTATATACTGCTGTTTACTATTGTATGCGACTTTTTTTGTCCTCTGAACTGAAAGAAGAATAAATTGACCAGTGTCCCAGACACTCCAGTTTTTGCCTTGAAGAAAATAAAAACATTTCATTTCCAGCGTGACATTGGATGTCATGCCTTCTGGGTTTTGATTCACAGCGTGTTTACCCGAGAGAGACAGACGCATTAAACTCCCAAATACACCCATAAGACGCGTTTGCAATGCTTTCCAAATACATTAGATGCTGCAGGGCCAGCCAGCGAGAACACGTAGCTTAACTGGATACAGCGAACTAGAATTTCCCCTGTGTGGGGAAAAAAACACCGAAGATCAGCTCAAGGTTGTGTCTGTAACTTTCAGTATTCAAGAGGTTTTGTTTCATTGTGTTGTGCTTCTGCACGTTGCAGCAGTATTTCCAGTTATTTTTGAATGTGAGGAGTCGAGCCTCACATCGCTCTTAAACACCAGTGAGTGTTGTTTTCTGCTTTGAAAGGTTAAACATAAAAAGTCACAGCCCCTTTCTTTGCATTATATGTTGATCTCCAGGTTTTAAATGTGACTCATTTGTTTGAGGATGGATATTTTTGACCCAACATTTATCTTCCTCATCTCCTTCCACTTGGATCTTACGGTTTTGAATCGTATTCCCTGTCCCTGGTTCAGGGAGGGCTCTTCCTGTTAAAAGGGAGTTTTTCTTTCCCACTGTCACCAAGTAATTACTCATAGGGGGTCGTCTGATTGTTGGAGTTTTCTCTGTATTATTGTCGTGTCTTTACCTTACAACAAAAAGCACCTTTGCACAAGATCTGATGTATTTATATATTCATGGCCACAGTATGGCCGAGAATATATGTTGCCCTTTAGCACAGATTGGAAACAGGGTTTTGTGGTCCAACAAAAAACAAAATCTATTATTGCTTTCAGCATGTTGCAGTTTAAGTGGTCTGAGGGGAAACCAGACTCCTCTACATCCCCTGGTCTGTTTTCAGGCTTCAGAAAATCTAATCCATTAAGCAGCCTTTGACCATCACAGCTCTTTTCAGACTAGATCTGGAGAGTTTTTAAGCAATACAAAGAGAGAAATATTCAATGCACAAAGTAGAATTTAGTATTGCAATAAAAGAAGATCATTTTAATGTAAAAGAATGTGTTAAAAATCCCCCTGAAGTTATAAGAGGCCTGGAGCAGTGAAGAGCTGCAGGATGTCCATCTTCAAATTCTGCAATACTTTGTTTTATGTTTTAGCCTAGTGCAGCTTTGACTTTATCAGAGGCCTGTAAGAGAAATTAAAATTTAATAACATATAACATATTGATACAGCAGCCGCCCATTTACAGTTGGTGCAAACAGTAGCAGCAAGGTTACTCAAAACCACTTTATGCTGTATTACCCTGGCCCCCCATTTGTTAAAGAAATCAAATTTAAAATTTCAGTCGTTACTTTTATGACTGAGATATAAAGTGGAGTCATACGGAGCTTTGAACCCCTTATTTTCCACCCAGACCCTTCACGTTAGACTGAAAGGCTTAAAACAAAGTGAATGGCGTACATTTATATACTTAGATTTAGATTTAAAGCCGTGGTCCAAGCTAGCTTTTACTGTGAGAGCTACTCAGTCAGTGCCTCAGTTTGAAAGCTTTCAAAAGTCCAGTTCTGTTGTCAGATATAGTTATATTATAGTTTTGATGGCTAGTTTAAAATTCTGTGGAGTGCTTTTTTTGTAAGTTATGTTCAGCATTAGTGTCCAGAAGGGCAGTAAAGCTGGTTGTGCTTTAAACCAGGCCCGCTTTATGTGTCCCTGCAACAGGAGTATGGTGTGATTTCTTATTTTCAGTGAGAGTTACTCTGCGACTGTGATGTCTGGTCTCCAAAACCAAAGAAATGGACAGCTGATATCACAGATGCAGTCTCTGTCTTTTCTCTCATTTTAAAGTTGCCATTTTCTGTTATTTTTTTTGTGAAACACCATAGTTTACATTCTACACAACAAGCATAAATGAGCCATACACAAGCAAATATATATTTTATATTCAGTTTCTCATGATTCTTGGTGTGAGCTCAGATTATAACCTTTTTTAAGGCGCTGAAGTCGCTGTTTTTATTTACTTTGCACACCTAAGGATGGGTCATATGGGTTTCTCTGTAATTGTCCCCATCCTTCATCCACAGTGGACTCAGTAAACACAGCTCTTTGTCCAGATATGCTGAGCGCAGCTGTAAGCGTGCGTGCAGTCCAGTCAGTGAAAGAGATGCATCCCTGCAGGCTGCAGATTTAGAGCCACAGATGGCTGAAAAACTGTTTGAACCTTAGTCAAAACCTTATGTGGGCTGCATGTCTTCTTCCAGCAACTGTGTGTGTCCATATGCATGTTTGTGTGTGTGTGTTATTTATGTTGTGGGGACATAAATCTGTGTATATAGTCACACTGTACAGACCTGCCTCCCTTTTGGGGACAAAAAGCAATTCCCCCAAATCATAGATGATAAACATTTTAGTGCTAAGATTTGGTTTAAAGTAAAGGTAGCGCATTAATGTGAGGCGTCTGAATGCTGAAATGCACTGATACACTGAAGCATACATCATATTTGGCATCGTGATAAAAAATAAAAACACCTTTAAGGAGCAGAATTAACAATAACATAAAAGAATATGGAAGGAAAAGAATAGTTTGACTTGCTATTGAATTTGCTTTTTTTCACTAAGAGCTAAAGAGGTTTGTCACCTTCAGGTCTGTGCAATACAGCTAAAGCCGGAGCCTGAGCTTAAAACTCCTGCTCGTGCAATCTAAAGTTCATTTTTAATACATTGTGATGCACACAAAACTAGTGGGTCAAAAGTTTCAGACTGACAAGATGACGTTTGATGCGGCTTTCTCTGGTCTCTGCAGGTTACCTTATAGCAGTAAAGCCTTGTTTAGGATTTGCTTGACACCTATCACTTAGTTGCTAGTAGATATTCAATGCTCCGAGTGACTAGGTAACCCCTCAAGCTGTGTTTTGTCATTCCTCAGCAAATATTCAGAAAACAGTTTCTGGGCATGTGCCGAAGTGAAGCGAGACGGTGCTATTCTCTTCCTGTATGCGTACGGCTTCTTTGATATGTATCTGTGGCTCTCTTCAGGTTCTCAGACATGGCTGTCTGCAGTAGATATGCATCATTACACTTCTGCTGGCAGCCTCACGGAGATGGCAAGTGTTTTCTGAAAGTGAAGCCAGAGTTTTTCCCCTCATTGTATAGTTGGCAAAGCATCTTCATCACATACATTTTAAGTGGCTATAAATAGCAGCTAAAAAATGCTTCAGTGTTTTGTTCGTCCTCTTCTTAACGTCATGTTTTCTGCCATTGATTCAAGTGTGTGTGCCGTAATCTAGTGCCTTTGTATCAGTGCCCTCCTCCAGCACAACAGTTTTCTTCTACCCTGGAAGTTTTTGACAGGAGAATACTCTACAATTATTTTGTTGCACCAACTGAAGAAAAAAAAAAGAGGGGGGGGGGGGGGGGGTCTCTGGTCTCCTAGCAACAGTCAGCTGCCACCATGCCCAAGGAGGTAAAATTAGTCCTGTGAGAAGAAAGGAAGTAGAATTGGAGAATCCCTTCTCTCTCTTCTCTCCTTTTTTATCCACTCTGCAAGTTAGATCACCTCACGCTGGATTGCTTTGTTCCTGTTCAAAATAAGAAATCACTTGGCATGCAGCTTCATGTTAGACTGATGTCTCTGTGATTGCTGCAAAATACATTAAGTGAATTCCGTACTTCAAACAGCGTGGCACGATGCTGTAGCTGGCACTGGTGCAGGGATTCCTCCTGTGAACATGCATGCTTTTCCCTCCTGCTTTGTTCTGCTGGATCAGTCTGCAGCACCACCACCTCCGCTCCCCTCTACGAGTTTTAGCAGATATTCACGTCAGTCGCACAGTCACCGTGAACACACGTGTCCTGTGGGGTATGTAGATGCTCTCTGTAGACCGCATGTATTCTCCACACCAGCATGATGTACGGCATAATTAAATAAGCTGTGCGCGCTCTGTTAATTGCCCGTGGAGTGTTTGAAGGGCTGGAAAATGTCAAGCTGTGTGTGTGTGTGTGTGTGTGTGTGTGTGTGTGTGTGTGTGTGTGTGTGTGTGTGTGTGTGTGTGTGTGTGTGTGTGTGTGTGTGTGTGTGTGTGTGTGTGTGCGCGCGCTCCTGGATATGTCCAGGGCTTGGGTGCTCAGTGTAATAAGCATGTGCAGACAGACCTGTTAGTCCCTCTGGACAAACCTCTCCCGGGGATCAGTTATGAGTGTGCTCTCACGCGCTCCGAAATGCAGGGAATGAAGGAATTTTCTGCTTGTTGACACAGATGTCCAAATCATGTTGTTCAAACATGTAATTCACACATGCATCAGCCTTCAAAACACCTCCCACACGCTTTAGCATCTACACATACTGTACACGTCCAATCCTGGTCTTTCCCACTTGACCACAAACTATGATGATGGGAGGTGCTGTTATGGGAGCAGATTAGACAGTTAGCAAATGCTTAAACTCACGAACACTTTTACTAATAACAACAACTTATAAAGCACATTTTGAAACGCACATTTTAACAACTCTAGCATGAACACTGCAGTTTTTGTTTTTGTTAATGACGCCAGGGTTGGCAAATGTTTTCGGCCATATTCGGAGGGGGAGGAGTCCATAATTACCTTACTTATAGTAAAATGGTCTAAAGGGGAGCTGGGTCTACTGGGTGTCCTCTCAGTTCTGATTTCAGGCTGTATAAAATCCAGCACATGACCGGAGCTGGCATGATTACAGGTCTTTTTAGACTAGAATAGCTACCACCAGGGCCACAATGAAATAGACTCTCTTTTTTAAGAGAGATGTATGAGTGAGGCTGTTTTCAAATTCTCAAGTTGTGCAAGAGACGCATGCCAAGCTTATATCATGGAGTTTTTCCAGCTAATTTATCCCTGATTAATTCCTTCCAACATTTATAGTAGGAAATCTTTCAAACTTCCTGAACTGCTCACAGAATCATTAGATAACTTCAGACTTGCTTGATGATTGCAACTATGATCACATCAGCATCTTTGTATCAGCCAGGAATAAATAAGAGGCTGTTTAAATTGAAGCTGCGGTGCCATTGGATAGCTTAGATCAGAGGTCTCAAATCTGCAGCCCCAGAGCCACATGCGGAGATGTTTCCAATCTCTAGTGGTTCCATTTCATTTCCACAGAAATCCAAATGGAGACGCTTAAAGGCGGCATCGATAACCCACATGCTCCGAAGGTCTATGTGATGTTATCCATAGGGGTTTAGAAAGCTGTAGGTCAGTTTACCTGTACACAGCAGAAACTCAGTGATGTGCTATTAAAATGCAAGTAATATCCTCTACTGATATTTGCATCAACATGTTTTAATGTGTACGTATTCTTTGTCTTTTTTAGAGATGTCAAGCCAGACAATATCCTATTGGATGAACAAGGTAAGGGTGTGAACAGTTTGCTCTGTTTATAAGACAGGATGTAAAACAAAACAGGACTTTTAGGCCTTCAGTATGTATCGTAGTTGTATAAGAGCACATTTAGACCACAGACCTGTCTGAAGGGCATATCACAGTATTCTTTGTGCATTGTTTATTTATTTATTGTCAGATACCTGTTATATTTTGTCATATGGCTCTTAATGAGTTTTATTCTGATTATACTATATGTATTCCTGCTATATGCACACATTCAGTTTCCTCAGGTCCTCCTATTTCCATGTCATTTAAAAGCTGCAATGTTAGGACTGTGTCGTATCGATGGAGTGGATTCAGCAGCTTTAAAGCCTAACTATCTTATCACATTGGATGACTTTAAGCTGTGTTTCTTTTTTCGACTGCATGTGATTCTAATGCTGTCTGTACCTCCCTGTGTGTGTGCGTCTGTGTTTTGTACTTCTCCTCCTAGCTATACAATAAATATGTCTGTCGTGCATTTGTGTTTCTCAAAATCCTTCTATCAGCTTAAGCTGACGGAGGGATTCTGAAAAGTGCTTGATCATCAGGGGAAAACAGAAATTGTACAATAAATAACCCTTAGAGACGGCAGTGACGTTCCCAATCCGCTGCGACGAGTACGACACCCCAGAAACGACCCCAAGAAGGTCAGAGGAGTCGGGGACATCGGACTGACGCACAAAATAATGAGGACACTTTGTCCTTGCATATCACATTCCAGCTTACTGAAAGGGAACGTTGTGTCCTCATTTGTTTCCTTCTCTTGTCACATGTGAAAATGTTTCCTTTTGATGTGAGCGCAGATGTTTATTTAGAAAATGTTGATGGATTTTCGTGTTTCCTCAGGTCACGCTCACCTGACGGACTTCAACATAGCAACAATAATAAAAGACGGAGAGCGAGCCACGGCCTTAGCTGGAACCAAGCCCTACATGGGTAACTAAACATTTATACTGTGCATGAAAAAGAAAGCTACAAGAAAAGGGGGCCTAGCGTAATTAAGTTATTCTTTTCTTTGTAATTTTAAATGCTCAGTTGTACCATTTAACTGTCTCGGTTAGTTAAAGCTCCTAGAACTATTTGCTAGAAGGTGCCAGACGCTGTTCCTTCAATTTCTGAATACATTTTTACGCTCTCATTATCACTAAACAGGCGTGTGTGAATGATATCAAAGAAATTAAACATCCTGTTGATTTGTGAAAATGGGAGGCAAATGTTCCACTATTGTATAATGCGATTGCCGAGGAAAAATGTGCTTTTCTTATGACATTTTTGCAAAGGAATGCTCCATGCACAGGCTGTCATTATACAAGCTTTTTCTTCAGTGTCTCTCTGCTGTGCTTTCAGCCCCAGAGATCTTCCAGTCTTTTGTGAGTGGAGGGACGGGCTACGCCATTGAAGTAGACTGGTGGTCACTAGGGGTGACGGTCTTCGAAGTGCTGCGCGGATGGGTGAGACATTGAAATTGCAGTTTTTATGTTATCGGGCTGCAAGAACGAGCTCGCCTCCATTCATTCGCTCGTCTTTCTCTTCCTCAACTTGCTGCTTTTCCTCCTTTTGTCACCTTGTCTCTCTGCTAGAGGCCGTATGACATCCACGCCAGTAACTCGGTGGAATCGCTGATTCAGCTCTTCAGTACCGTCAGTGTCCAGTACAGCCCAACCTGGCCCAAGGATCTGGTTTCACTATTGAGGAAGGTGAGTGGAGGACGATGGGGCATTATTAACTTACACTTACACTTCAGTCAGCGGTCCCCATCCTTTTTTGCACCACGGACCAGTTTGATGTCCAAAAAATTTGTGTTATTTTGTAACATGTCCTCCTATAATGTGCCAACAACATTGAGAGTAACGCCCTCCTCTCTGCCCCTTAATGGTCTCTGGTCGCTATGGTGACGCGTAAATATTTCTTTGAAATAGGGTTTGGGGACCGCTGGAATAAGGGACTCAAGCTGAACGTCTGTCATCTTTCAGTTAAATTTCCGTCCAGCAGCAACTACTAGATCTGCAAGGATCTGTCTGGACTCTGAAAATCAAATTAGTTAATGTGAATTTCTATATACATAGTCAGTAACATCGATTTATCACTGCTAATTCTGTATTATCACAAAAGGATTGTATGTAACTTGACTGAGTCCATGTTATTGCTGTCGCCTTGAAGACGGCGAGCTCACTGCTAGTGGTCGCTGATTCGTCTTTGAAGCAACCATTTCAAAAGCAGCGAGTTCGCATGTTCGTTGCACACGGTCGCGCTAATATTTCAATCTCTAACTGTTGTTTTCCACAGTGTAACTGTAACACACAGCACCATCCTACTATGCAGCTAGTGCAAGAAAATTTGAAAAAGGTATCATAGGAACAACTGCTTATCCGTGATGTAATATGACCCTCTTCACAGAAAGCACCTTTCTTTCTTCTATTACTCTGGCACCCAGTGTGCACAGCTCGGAGACAGATACTGTCTACAGATTTATTTCCCTCTGCCTTTTTAGTTTAAAGAAGGAGTATAAAAAGTAACCAAATTTAGATACAAAGTTGCCAAGTTAGCAACCAGTGAGGTGAACTGAATCCGGTTGTTCAGTGATGACACGACGAATCCTACTTCCGGGCCTAAAGTAGTCTGCGTTTAATATGACTTTTGTGTTGTTAACATTTTTAATGTTTTGTATTTTCTTCTATTTGATCTCAAAAAGCTCCTAAAACAGTCAGTGATCACTGTTGACCTTCCTCGGCTTTTATTACCACTAATCATTTATTTAAGCTCAGTTTTTAAAACCTTAGGATGTAACTACAGCACAGCCCATGCAGCAGTATATGAATGACTAACCTCGTATTGTGGATGGATTATCTCAGTTGTTCTCCTGGCTGAAGTTTGGTCCTTTTACAGCATCCTGCCATGCGATTACATTTGTTCCTGACCACCGAGAACACTCACGTTAACTTTTATCGAGTGGAAAAAAAGTTAGCTTGTTTATATTATGCTAACATAGCTGTGTTGCTAGCGGTCACGTAGCACATCATTATATACCAGCTAGCCCAACTTCAGTAACCCTACAAACGTCACTGCTTTTTAGTTTTCTGTCTTCATTTATGTTGGAAGTGATAGCAGAGCTGTACGTTTTAATTTGTTTCCAAAACCCCGCAGTCAGGACATGCTATATTGTATTTAGATAGAAGCTAGCGAGCTAACTCCCTGCTAACTTCTAACTCCGTTAAATGTCATAAATTCCGTTTTCATAGATGCCTGGATGTTAAACTCAATTGTTACACCTGGTAGAGCAGAACGCTGATCATTTTATTAAAGATGAAAGACTTCAGACAGTTTTTCAACTCTCAGTAATGCCACAGTGATCGTTTGATATATGGACCTGCAGCGGAGTTTAGGCCCAGACACGGCTAGTGACGTCAGACTGAACAACCGGATAGGGACAGCGCCGTGAGTGAGAGGGGTGTGAGATGGACAAGCTGAGATGCATAATTTCTACATTTACAATAAAATAAATATCCAATTGCTAAAACTGAAAAGCAAATATCTACCCAGTAAACAAATATCCAAATTGTCAAATATGTATGAACAGGCTTAGCGATGAGCTCTATTCTGACGCTCAGAACGACAAAGCTCACTGATCGCTCTCAGCAAGCAGTCCATTATCTCTCATTATTAGCAAAGAGCAGTGTTTTTAGTTGGCTCAGGCCTTCGCCTTGCTGGCAAAAACTTGTAATCTTAATTTTATGGCTTGTCTTTAATCAGGTTCACGTCTTCTTTACCAGCTGGTGTTTGTGCCAACATCTCTTTCACTATGTCAGTATGCATCGCTTTCGTCCAAGGTTTAGGAGAGAAGCTATAAACATTCGGTTTGGACATTTTAATAAAATGTATATGAGCTAACTGATAAATGGAAAGGTTAGGAATGTGAATGCCAGTCCCAGGAAACTAAAGTTACAGTTTTTAATTAAGTGAAGGCAGATTAACTCTGACCCATGTTGCCTGAGTGCAGATGGTCTTCCTAAGAAAGAGGAGCAGGATGTAGAGGTAAAAAAAAAGTCAGCGGAGCCAGTGGAACTGATGGTGCAGGTATTCTGTGTGTGCGTGAGTGCTGTGGGGAGGGGGGATGATCCGAGACCCCGAGGGCAAAGAAGGGATGGAGAAAGAAAATGACAGATGGGATGAAAGCACAGAAACTGAGCGTGTGGGTGAGAGACGAAACAGTGCATGTGTATCTTTGTGTGCTAACTTATCATAACGAGTGTTTTAGTCTAATATTGAGACTGAAAATGTTTTCTTAAAAGCGAAAGTGTGCCAGTTGGATGAGATAACTCGCTCTGGATCAAATGTTAATAATTCTGCTCCAAACTTTCCTTGCAATAAAAACCCACCTTATTCTGCTTTGCATCAGCGTGCTGTCATCTAAGCAAGCAAAACTGTTCTGGAAACTAGTCCTCTCCTCCCCTCTGGTGATATTTCTGTAGTTATTTGAAGACAAGATTTTTGAGTGGGGAAGGAAAACTGTGGCTTGTTCAGGAGGATACTCTTTGGCAGAGTGTAAGTGCAGAGCAGGAGTGCGTGCATGTGCTCTGCGTCTGAATGACTGAGTGTTCTGGACGGAGCGACGGTCTCTTCCGCTCTGCTGCTGATCGATTACCGTGTCTGGACTCCACCGAGACTGAGCTAACTGGCCCTGCAGGAGAAAACTGAATCAGCCTGTGACCAAAAGAAGAAGAAAATAAAGCGCAGGAAGCGAGCTAACACAACAACAAAAACCACATCCCATTGTCATCTCCAGCGTTTTACCCCCGAGGTGAAAAATGAAGCACATGGCATTCCATTTAAAAACACAACTGTATCAGCACCAGCTCTTCTTTTCTCCCTGGACTGTGCGACTCCATTCATGTGTGGTGTCCATCTGTTCTGATCAGTGCAACAATTCTGATTCAACCTGATTGGAGTCAGATTTGATTAACAATTCCTCCTGTTGGTGGATTTATTAGTAAAGGTGCATTCGTCCTCCTGTTCAAATGTAGTGGCAACATAATTATTAGTTTTCTACAGAGAAGGAAGAAAAATTATGTTTTGGTCAATTTGTTTGTTTCCCCATAAATAATACCACATTTGTAGATTGAGCAGCAGAGTTGAGTATGTGGGTTGCGCCCATGAAAAACTTGCCAAACCTTCTCTTGCTAGTGCCAAACAGCTTTTTCTGCTGTTGGCTCTTCTTTAGAGCTCCTGGTACCCCAGGTGCTGACAGTCAGGGGCCTGATTGGTCCTGTTCATCGATGAGTCGGGAGTTTTCCCACACCTGTTGGGTTGTACGGTCAAAATGTTGCAGTGTTGATTGCTGCACCAATAAGGTAACAGTGTGGAGACAGTGCGGTGGCGGTGTGGGTGGCGTCTCCCTCACTGGAAAAATGCGACTTGTCATTATTATAGACAATCTCAATGCAGAGATGTCTCCAAGATGAGATTCTGCAGCCAGTGGCAATCCCATATCTCCACAGTCTGGGACCGAACTCTATCCTCCAAGATGACGACACTCTCCGCAGATCGAGGCTTATCATTGACTAGGATGGAATGACCTGCCTGCAGTCCTGACCTCAACCCCACTGGGATCAGTTTGGATGTGCTGCTTGTGCCAGAGTGACTAACACAACCACATTGGCTGATTTGTGACAAATGAAGAATAGGATGTCATCACATAGCAGTGTGTGACCAGGCTGGAGACCAGCCATCCAAGCCCCTGTTTGTTAAAAGAATAAACTGTTAAATTGCCAATATCTCTTTATTGTGTTTCTTCAGGCTTCAACCATCCAATCTAAAAAATGACACCAGCCAAGAGTCAGTACCAGACGTTTTATAAATGAAAGACTTTTATAAATGAAAGAAAGATTGTAGGAATAGTCTTAACCACTTGATGCTGCATTTGACTCTCACACTACCATGATCTGAAAACCTACACAGACAGATTATAAGAATGTATAGTGATAAAACGCAAAACCAAAAAAGCAGATTTCATGGTTTCTGTATCTGCATGTCAGAAAGCCAAACGATTGCTATTAGCTAGATAAACATGCATGATCAAAAGGTTTTGACAGCAGACGTTTAAGATAGTTGGGGCACAAAAATGAAACCGATACAGGGTCCTGGTAGTGTGCAGGCTGGCACGCTATCGTTTACTGGGACACTCAATGGGAATACGTGTTTATTAAAAAAAAATATTTTAGCTTTCGTGCTGTTGTAACTGAAAAACAGTTACTAGTTTCCGGCTTTAGAATAGTGACCAAAAATCACATCCTATATCTCTTAAACGATTTTCCAAATCTTCCATGGAAAGCATCAAAAATCCAATCTCCATCAGGAGTTTTCATAAGGATTTAGACCAGGGGTGTCCAACTCCAGGCCTCAAGATCAGGTGTCCTGCAGGTTTTAGATCTCACCCTGGGTCAACACACCTGAATCAAATGACTAGTTCATAACCAAACCTCTGGAGAACTTCAAGACATGTTGAGGAGGTAATTTAGCCATTTAAATCAGCTGTGCTGGATCACGTCTAAAACCTGCAGGACACCTCGAGTCCTGGACTTGGAAACCCCTGGTTTAGACAAAGCACTCACACTTTGGTTGATGTCTGTACTGGTCTGTTGTGGTGCAAATACAATGTTCTGAAACTGGACTGGTTAAAGTGCAAAGTTGTTTTGTCTTGTTTTTTGTGGACTTTGGAAATTTGCACAGCCCTGTGAATAATTTTGCTTTATATTATTAAAGTCACAAGCAGAGAAAAAAAACGAATATAGGTCTCCAATGATAAGTGAGATGAACTGCTCGTCACATTGAGAATGGTTGCTCAAGCTCACCCTCACATCCGCTCCCATTTTCTCTTCCCTTTGAAGAGATGATCCATTTTATCTGTTCCTTTTATTAATGCAAGACTTCCAGCCTCTTGGGTTTGATCATTTTGATTAAAGCTAATAATCTTTATTTATAGTCTTTTTTTTAACTCTTGCGTTCACACAAGGCAGCACCTCTACCAAAACAATGTAAGGTTCACAGTCCTGCGGGTTTAACATATCATTGAGTTCAACACATACAAGCATATTAGTAAGATATAGCAGATGAAAAGGGATGGCAGGTGGTAAAAAGGAAAGGAGGGAAAAAACAACTCATGTAAGGGTTTTATTTCACCTCCCGTGGAGATCAGCCTGGCTGTGAGCGAGGAGAGAAGGTGCGAAGGTGATGTTGCTACTCAGAAAGTGATGTTGATGAAGTGTGTGTGCGTCTTTTCTTTCCAGCTACTGACAGTGAACCCAGAGCATCGTTTCTCCAGCCTGTCTGACATGCAGACCGCTCCCTACCTCTCTGACGTCAACTGGGACGCTGTGTATGAGAAGAAAATGGAGGCTGGATTTGTTCCCAATGTTAGTGTAAAGCCATCACATACCTCGCTCTCTCTCACACACAGACTGAAGCACTCCTTCATGCTTGCTGATCATAATGAGCATTTTTGGCAACTAAATAATGCACGCTGGCATGCAGCGTCTTTGCGGTGCACTCACCTTATATTCCTGCTTGCATGTCAGTGCATTCATGTGTGCTGTTCCCTGTTGATGCTCAGAGCGCGTGCACTCTGTGGTCCATTTACGATGGATGCTGCTCCTGTGTTTGTTTCTAATTATCTCGCGTGCATCTCGCTCACACAGAAAGGTCGCCTGCACTGCGACCCCACCTTCGAGCTGGAGGAGATGATCCTGGAGTCACGTCCTCTTCACAAGAAGAAAAAGAGGCTGGCAAAGAACCGATCACGAGACAACAGCAAGGATTCACAGTCTGTAAGTGACACGGTGCTCTGCACAGAGCTGCTGCGTCCGTTCTTTTATCTCATGAAGCAACACTTAGTGTGATACCTCTGATACCAACAGCTTTGACTTTTATGCATAGAAGGCACAAACTAAACCATTAGTTTGCAATTAATTTGCTTCTTAGTGAGTCGTGAGCGCTACCACTAAAGAAACTTTTTAAAGCAGTGTGTTGGTAGCTGCTGGGAGTTTTGATTTGATTTTAATGCTTAGAATATACATGATCAGGCATAACAACCTGTGACATGATAACACTGATTATCTGTTCATCATGGCACCTGTTGGCAGCTGGGACATATTAGGGAGCAAGTGAACATTTTGTCCTCAAAGTTGATGTTAGAAGCAGGAAAAATGGACAAGTGCGAGGATTTAATTAAGTTTGACAAGAGCCACATTATGATGGCTAGACAACTGGGTCAGAGCATCTCCAAAACCACAGCTCACGTGTTCCCAGTCTGCAGTGGTCAGTATCTCTCAAAAGTTCCCTGATCTAAAGAATAGTGAAAACCGGAGAACTGGTAAACACTGTAACCAAAGAAAAGTCAATAAAAATAATAAAAAGGATCCCAGTCCTCAGAAAGGCAAAATGATCTCCATCTTCTTTCATGTTTAGTAACCAGAGATGAAGTCCTCTTAGTAGTTATATAACCTCTGCATTAAAAGCACTATGTTCTGTTAAGGAGGAGGATTTTGGAGTCACGAGTATGAAGGTGGAATTGTCACTGCATCTGTTAAAAGGCCTCTTCTCTTTGATCATACAAAGGGATCATTTTCGTTTTTTCATCTTCAAAAGAGTTATTTTCTCGTAGGCACCGATATGATTTGCTGTTTACCTGTTATTTTGATCTTTGTAGCCTTACCTCCAGCAGATTAGTGTGGTTTTTGCTTTGTACAGTTAGGTTTTTGTTAACTTTTGGACAATTACACATCTTCTATAATGTAGCCTTTGTGCAGCACTGCAGTAGACTTTGAATCCCAGTCCTTGTATGATTGTGCAGACTTTCAACTTAAGATCAAAGGGGTTTAACAAAAGCATCGCATTAACTGTTTAGGAATTACAGTCATTTGAATACACAGTCTCTATTTTTAGAGATTGAAAATACAAAGATTGTTTTTAGTACTTGGATGAAGCCTAGAACCATGGACGTCACCCATGGCTTTCTTGTCAAGTGTAAATGGTGGTTTTGCATATTGTGATAAGTCGCGTGTTTTTCCATTCATGAAAGCATCTCTCAGTTGTAGCCTATGAAAGTTAAATGCCTGCCTCCTTGAGAAGTTTTTGCTCGGTCCTTCTCTGATAGGCTCATTTTGTTTTTTTCAGCCTGATGATGGGCTCCTTCATTTCTATGTCAATCCATTTTTACAGAGAGTTTCAGTGAAAAACTACCAAGTAGCTTCCAAGTCCAACACTTGGAATCAGCTCCGTATCTTTCATCTGCTTCAGCTCATGAAATAATGAGAGAACCGAGCACGAAACATCTCATCAATAACCTGCTTACGTTTGAGCCTCTAAATATGAATTCTGGTAATTCCTAAACAACTAATCCAAAGCTTTTTTTTTTCATAACCCTTTAATTAAAGGTGAAAGTCTTAACTTCACTGAACAAAATTACAAAATGTGTTTGATTGCCCAGATACTTACAGACAGACTTAACTGTCATTGCTAAAAGCGAAAGATTATGAAGGGAACACCAGAAGAGTCGTGTAAATTATTTTTACCCACTGCATTACTCATTGGTACAGTTTTTATAAAGAGCCCGGGCCATTCCAGGATAACAATGCAGCTCAGGCTTACCTTTGTCTCCGCTCTGTCACATCCTGTCAACACTGTATATTTTTAGATTGGCAGTGAGCCAGCTGGCATTTTTTTTCCTCAGCTGTAGTGAATTACCTGTGCTCTTAGCTCTGTGATACAGTAGAAGGATAAAGCGAGACACCTGTGTAATCATGCTCACAGAGGCAATACAGTACAGTTTCTATATCGTTGAATACTTGCTGTCGATCCTTGGAGTCTCAACCCCCACCGGTCTGGCCAGTTTGCGTCCCCCTACCTGAGCCTGTTCTTCCTGTTAAAACGGATTTTTTTCTTTCCACTGTCACCAAGTACTAACTTGATTGTTCGGCTACGCTCACACTGCAGGCGAAAGCGCATCAAATGCACCTTTTTTGACCCTATGCGACCCATATCCGATCATGCTATGACAGTTTGAACAGCACAAATCCGATATTTTCAAATCCGACCTGGGTCACTTTCATGTGTGGTTTAATCCGAGACATATCTGATGTCTTAGAAAGCGACTGCTGTGTGAATGTTCATGTCGCATTAAATCCGTCTTTTAAGTCACTGACATAAGACGGACGCCGATTATCAGCTCTGGAGAAGACAAACGAGAAAGCATGGCGGCCATTGTTAAAGCACGTGCTCTCTTTTTTTCTCAGTGTCCTTCTTTCTCTAATTAATCTCTGTAGCCGCCATTTTTACTTCCGTAAACAGAGTGCGTTGCATGTCTTCTTTTGCGCATGCGGGCCGTGAACTGTTCACACTAGAGCGTGTTTGCTGTCACATTTTATTTGTCGTGTGAACAACCAGACAAAAAAAATCAGAATTGAGCATTAAGACCTGCAGCGTGAACGTAGCCTTAGAGCTCTCTCTCTATTTCTCACTTTACAATATAAAGAGCTGTTGTTGTGATTTTCCACTGTACAGTTAAAATTGAATTAATAGGCTGTTCTGTTAAAGGATGAAATGAATAATCCCCAAAAAAGAAAAATTATTGCAGTTTAAATGTTAACAATTTGAATTTCAGTTCGAACAACTACAGCAAAACAAAAGGATTTTGAGGTAGCAGATGAATAGCAATGCAAGATATAAATGTCCTCCTCATTTTGCCTTAATGCGTGATGAGGTCTGCTGTCTGATTTGTGTGTGCTGTGAGCAGGATCAGTGTAACTGCAGCAGTGCAGTCTCTGTTTCTTTGCCTTGGTGTTATGTTTGATTGAGACATTATTTACCACAGACGGGAGACGTCCTCTCTGTATTTATGAAAAGCAGCCTGCACCCATCAGACGCTCCTCATGACATCAGCGCGTGTGCGTGTGTCACGTGTTATCAGGGCTGATGAACATGTGCAAAGAGCGTGCACCTCTAACAATAGGGTTGTGAGGCGCTGTGTGTGGAGCACATACATGCGTGTGTGCCCGCTTGCGTGTACTCATACTGCGTTATTACTGAGATTATTAAATTATGAAGCCTTCGGTGCTGTTGTCATGGCCCCAAGTGCTTTTGGAAATATGAGCTTCTATTTTCGTCTTGGGCCAAACATCCAATTTGAGGAGAGCTCACAAACAATTCATGACTTGTTTAAAAGAGCAACGAGGGGGAAGGATGAATATCCCTGGGAGGTCACGCACTTGACAGATTGAAGTTGACGTCAAGTTTTGTTTTGTGTTTCTTTTTAATCTGCGATTCTTGATGATGCTGATGATGATGAGGTCGATGTGTAAGGTGACGATGAGTGTGCTTTGTCTGTCATCTGCCTGCAGGAGAACGACTATCTACAGGAGTGCCTTGAAGTGGTGCAGCAAGAGTTCATGATCTTCAACCGAGAGAAGTAAGAGAACAGAAGAGCAGCAGACCGTCTATAACACGGGCTAAAAGCAGAGGTTTCTTTTTTTTATTCAACGCAGCCAGAATGAAATTAGCTACCATTAGTGTCATCCTTTTAGAACGAATGCAAAGGACAGAAACATTCCTGCCACTTGCCTTGTTTGCCCTTTAAACAATCGGATTGATATCCTCAGCTGGAGCTAAATTTAATCTTCTTTCATGTTTCTTTTCTTAGATTGTGAGGCAACATAGGGGTTCATTTGTCTTTGATCTTAAAGCTATCTCACAACCTCTTATTTTTGGGGGGCAGCAATCATATATTTAGAAAACCAACGGCAGTAATTTAGCTAAATTAGTGACACTTTAATTACAGTTAAAACTAGATATTTTGCCCATAAACCCCTGAGACAAGAGGTTGGCACATTTTACTGTTTCTTTTATTAAATTGCATAAAATCCATGCACAAAAGACAAATTGAGACTTTAAAATGATATAGCAGTTTAAGGTAACAAAGCATCTTCGTCCTTGTCCTTGTTTCCCTTGCTAGAATCAACAGTCAGCTTAACAGTTATGTCACAATCATGTCAATCAGGAACCAATGCAGGCACAGGGAGAACATATAAGAGGCTCAGTTGATCAGGAGGACCAAAGCAGGTGCTGTCTTCCTGCTGTAAAGTGTCGGCATTAACCAGTATGCTAGCATTCAGTCCTGTAATAATACATAGTTTCAAATATGTTAAGGTTCTTGTTTTTCAAGGTGCTACTGGTGCTGAGAAACATCTGGGGGGGAATGCAAAAAAATACAAATTTCTCACAGCCTGTGCTTGTAGATATTATATCAAACTTAAACGCCTTTACTGTTTAATCATGAAAGTGTCTCCTTTTACATTTTTCCCCATGCAGATGTTTTTGCATGCTCATTTCATAAGATTCATGTAAGAAACGGACAAAAAGTAGAGTCTTACACAATGTCTGACTTGTGAAAATAAACAGTCGTGTGAAAAAAGTTCCAAAGGACTCTTTGCAGTCCTATAAAAAGCTCAGTACATTGTTCCCTCGTTTATCGCTGGAGTTAAGTTAAAAAAAAAAAAACCTGTGATAGGTGAAAGCTTTATTTTTTTCACTCACTACACACTTTATACACTTTTCTCAGACGGGTAACTCAGACGGTAACTTCTACCTTCCTTTAACATGTCCACAAGTCCAACTTTTTGTGCAATGGTTAGCATCTTCCTTGACCTTTTGGGTGCTACCGCAGGTGACTCTGACGGTGCAAAGCGTTTCGTCGGCATTGTTGTGTTTGTTGGGGAGAAAACTTACAGTACAGCACTTCACAGTCACACTGCTAGCAACTGGAGATGGACCGATCCGATATTACGTATCGGTATCGGTCTGATACTGACCTAAATTACTGGATCGGATATCGGCGAGAAATAAAAAATGTAATCCGATCCATTAAATATCAAAAAAGCACCTCACAAAACTTGCGACATGGCGTAACTCGTCTCATAACCGTAGCACGTCGGAGCAGTGTGGTCACGTGATACAGCGGCTGTGTGTATTTGTAGTCTCGCTACCAAACCAGCATTTCATCTCCGAGGAAGTTATCCCAGAGAGAAGTAAAGCAAGTGTGTAAGTTCCTCTCTGAATGTTTGTAAAGCATTCCCACGTTAAGCTTAACAACTGATATATGGAGCAAGTGCCTCTCTCTCTCTCTCTCTCTCTGTCTCTCTCTCTCTCCTGCCGCTACTTCATGAAACTGCTTAATGATCAGCTGATCGGCTTTTCTGTCGCGACTCCGTCTCTCTTGTTTGTAGGGTTGCCAACTCCCTGAAAAATAAATAAGGGACACCTCGTGGCCAGGGCCGGGCAACCCAGTTCACCCTTCCCAGTGTGGTGAATTTTGTAGCTCTTTTTTTTGTGTGTGAAATTATTTTTTAACCATTTGACTTGAATTTGATTTAAGCAGATGCATATTCTTTGTGATATGACCATATAGGAAACAAATGATCATTTAGCCATTTATTTTTAGCTCAAAATGACAACATTAACACAGTAAAACAGGTCTCTTTCTTAAACAGAAGCCTGTCATGCTTAACTTTTGAGAATATAAGTAAATCTTTCTTTAAAAGAACTCTGTCCTACTTAACTTATTATATAAATTAATAGAAAACAATAGAACGAAAAATATTCTTGTAACAGTGCACATATGCATTTAGTACAGTTGGCTTCAGCTGAGGTATTATTTCAGCTTTTCTAAAGCTAATCAGCTGTTCCTGTTTGTAAACCCGCTTGTTCCCATGATTACACATCTTAACTCATCATCATTATTCATCTATGTATTACTTTTATGTATTAGTCATCTATTTGTTATAATCATCTATCCTTGCAGTTGTCTATTACACAAAATAAATTATATTATCACACTTCTGGCCACATAGCGCTGATATTCACTGCACATGCCCATATCCTTAACCAGAGGGTTTAAAAAAAACAAACCAATGTTTACATACCATATCTGCTTCTGCCGTGGCCTGGTGGACAAAAAATTGGTTAAGGGTTCCCCGAGCTTTCATGCCCCTCATGTTCTTCATGTGCCCACCAATAGAAGCATGCCTATGGAAAAAGTGCGCTGGCACACAGTGCAGTGCGCTTTATATGTGTTATCGTGCACTTTTCCAGCCAGGTGTTTCCCTTTTCCCATTCCTCCCTGTACTTTTGCAGCCTTTTTTTCTTTCTCTGAGCAAACAAACATTGCTGCTCTAATGCTGGGCTCACACTGTGCGATTTTTGGCCCATTTTGAGACGATTTTTGAGTCGTGTAACCGATTTGGTGATCGACCCGACTTTGGCATTCATCGTGCATCGTTTAGTATACGTGGGGTAACGAGAAGCGGCTGTGGTGACACAGCCGCTCACACTGCTCACGCGCAAACACGTAAACGTCTGTGAAAAAGACGGAGCAGCACGGCTGTGCAGCGTGTGATCTGGACACCAGCGATGGAGGCACAACTTGTAGAACTTTGGAAAGCTCATCCGAGCCTTTTCGATGTGGCCTCACAAAATTATCACGACCACAACAACTGTGAAAATAGTTGGATTTACACTGTTGCTCAATCACAGCTGCCTGATCATGTTTTTCATTAGCAATTTAGCAAAGTTGATGGTGGTGGCGTGTGTCTGTGTGAGTGAAAGACAGAGAGAGAGAGCGACAGATTTTCTGTTATAACCTTCATTTTATGGAGGCACAGTGTGAGCACTCAGGTCGCATCAGAGCATCGGGCGGTATAGTGTGAGACCTGCATCGTGACCTACCAACTTCTAACCCCTGCGAGTCAATCGTGCAGTTTGAGCAGGAGCTGAATAACGTGACTGAAAAAAAATCGCACAGTGTCTGCCCAGCTTTAGGTGTACTGTTATCCAAGACTTGCACCGCAGTGTCGGCGTTTGTTTCCCTGTTGGCCATGCTTCTTGTTGTGGTCACCTGTTGTCTTCCGGTATTTTCTCCGTAAGCGACCTTTCCTCGACCAATGAGATGAGCGGTAATCTGAATTGTCATACTCGAATTGTCATAAGTGTGCTGTCAGCTCATTGGTCACAAAGCAGGAGAGGGGCTGGGAATTATGTTTTCAAACAAAGCGTTAATTCCATAAACATTTATAGACTACTTTTGATTCTCACTGTATTACGGGACAAAGTGCGTCCCTTATTAGCTCAATACGGGACGTGTACTTTTGTTTCTAAATACGGGACGATTCTGTTTTTTAAGGGACGGTTGGCAACCCTACTTGTTTGTTTTTGGCCCACTTTGCACCAGAAAGAGGAAACCAGCGGCTGAACAACAACAGCACGTTTAAGCTTGATAAGCTGTTGTTAGAATTGATTTAATATTACTTTCTACACCAGGATCTTTTTCTAGGTAGCTGACGGCTGGTAACTGTGCAGGGGCGGATCTAGCAAAGTTTAGCCAAGGGGGCCGATAGGGCATTAACAGGGAAAAGGGGGCACAAAGACATACTTTTCTTTCTTATTCTCATTTAAAATGTCTAGCTTTTAATAAATAATTATCTGAATCTTACACCCAAAGTTTTAATCTGATGTAAAATGTATAGAAGTCCATTACTGTATATAGTAACTGTTAAGTCTAATATACCCTAGTAAGCTATAGTACTTTTTCCTTTGGGAAAGTACCATCTGTGCAGTCTGCAGTTCTGTTGAAGAAAGATGTTGAATCTATTTAATTATTCTTGAAAAAATAATTTATTTCTGTGCATTTTTTTTTTCACACTGCATCAAATTAAAGTTGATTACATCGATTAAGCATCATGAGGTGGAGGGTGGAGGGTGGTTCCCTATTTTTTATTTTTTTTTGCTGGTAGTTTGCAACCCTATTAGTTAGGTTGCTTAATATTTCTGCTAAGTACTCTTTAAAATACCAGAATAGGAAGGATGGAGCAGGTTTAAGTTTATTAGATTGATCAGTGTTGCTGAACTATGAAATATTTTGGGCGCAGTGTACTTTTTACACACAGGTATAACAGAATAGCTTTAGTGCTGTTGTTTATTTAAACTTGACTATGAACTTATACAAAATGCAGCAAGATATTAAAAAACAGTTTTATTGATTAAAAAACACTATATCGGATTCATATCGGTATTGGCAGATATCCAAATTCATGATATCGGTATCGGTATCGGACATAAAAAAGTGGTATCGTGCCATCTCTACTAGCAACAGAAGATTTATGTATTTGACAGGCTGAACGCATTCTGTACTGTACAGGAGATACGGCACGAGATTGATTGACAATGATCTACAGCCAATCAGGACGCAGAACACAATGTGCTGTTTAAAAAAAAAAAACCATGCAAAATTGCACCAAAAAAAATGTACAAAAGAGCGAGGCCGCGGAAGATTAACCGCGTTATAGCGAGGGACCACTGTACACCCTTACTGCTTCCATAGGAATTAAGAGTATAAGTAGGCATCAGCAAGTATGGACGCCTGTCTTTAGGTGTGGAGCATTCACGTATGTGACAATGCCGCAATCGTTCAAGGAGTCTTCCATGCAATGCTCAGCGAAACTGCAAAACACCTGCATCTCAGACTGTACAGGCAACAGTTAGAGTGTTAAATGTTACATTTCATGACAGTACGATTAGAAAACGAGGGAGCAGGGATGGTTTGTTAAAAAGGGTTGCCAGGAAAAAGCTTCATTTCACTGGATGCAGAGGTTTGCTTTGGAAAGTTACATCTGAACACACTACAACACTTCTGTAATCATGTCTTTTAAACATAGAAGACTAAAATGGAGATGTTTGGCTGTAATGGATAGTGCCATGTTTGGCCTAACCCAAACCAGCTCATCAGCTCAAACTCCTTATAATAACGGCCAAGCACGGAGGTGGAGGGGTGTTGATTTGAGTTTGGTTTTTGGAGTTTTTTTGCAACCATGGGACCTGGATACCTCACAGTCCATGATCTGCTCTGTAAAACAAAGTATTCTAGAGTCAAATGAGACCATCGTGTCAGCTAAAGCGTGGCAGAAACTGGGTCATGCAACATGACAACGGTGCTAAGTGCATCATCAAATTTACAACAGAATGGCTAAAAAAGAAAGGAATCAAGGTGTTACTATGGCCCAGACCTCAAACCAACTAAAATGCTTTGGCAGGATCTTAAGAGAGCTGTCCATAAGCAAACAAGGAAGAAAATAAGGTTAGATTGATAGGTAAACAATTAGCTCGATATTAAAACCCATAAAAACCTCCCAAATATATCAATAACAACAACAATATGGATCAAGTGTAATGTCTTGTATGATCAAAATGCTGAGGATGCCACTTTCATACGATAGTATAAGGAATGTACCTTGTATGAGTCACATTATACATAAATATTTACTACATTTCTTTTCTGTATGGGCGACTTCATTTATTTTTTCCACCTTTTTCCCCTCTGTTGTGTTTGTTACGTTGCAGATACAGCACACAATCAAACATTTCTGACTGTGCATACTGATTGTTTGACTAATCTGGAGGTTTGTTTAAGACCCGTCTGATTGTTTTGACTGCTCCAGTTTCTCCTGCTGTCAGACGTTGCTGCAGCGATATCAGTGTATTTTCCCCCCTACGTGTCCACACGCACTTTCAAAACTAAGGCGGCACAATAACAATTCATGATGATAGTCAGATCTATAAAAATAAATCTGCACTTCAAAGGTTTGCAGTCATAATGATGAGTTTAAAAAAAACTGTCACCTTATACCACGACTGCTTTGGTGAATGTGGGGCTGGCACTGGAAATGCTCGTAAGATTGCAGTGGGAACAAGTTAAGGGCCGCCATATGTGAACAGGTACAGCAAATGCTAATTTAATCCTCCAAGAGCATGCAGTGTAGAGTTACTGGTATAGGAAGAAAAGCATTACATATTACTCCAGACCTTTACGACAGCCAAGCTTCTGTAATGAAATGGCTCGGTTATGTAAATCAGACATGACAGGAGGCTTTTTAAGAGTGTAGCTAAATTTAATGCATCTAATGTTTTCTTTACATCTGCAGAATACACACTGCACAACATAAATGACTACTTTAGAGTCCATTTATCATAGAATGTATCTTTGTATGTAAAGTGAGCAACATTGGTTCAGTGCTGCTCTAAATTATTGCCTCATTTATTATTGACCAGGTCCTGCCGCTGCAATGTTACTGCAGTCCTCCTCTGTGGCAAATGTCTTATTATATCCTATTGGTCTGATTAATGGCATGTTACTTCTATTTATAATAGAGGGCATAATGTCTAGAATTGTGTGCAGTGATGTGCATTATATAGTAAAGTCTAAAGGCCTCTTGACTATTTTTCTGAGGATTTTATAGCTCAAAAGTTTGGAAAAATAATTTAATTACACAACATGGGGGCATATCTCAGCTGCCATCATAAATGTGGTGATTTAGTTTTATTTATATAGAGCCAGTTCACAGTTAGTTTATCTTGAATGGGTTTGTGTAGTGAGATAATAATATTAAAGACAGACTCAAACTATAAGATGTATCCCCTCTGAGCAGGTACTTGGTGACTGCGGCGAGGAAGAACTACCTTAGAACAGGAAGAGACGTCCAGGTTAGAGGCAGCCACCTGTAGCAGGCGATTGGAGAGTGAAGGGAAGGAGAAGAACGAAAAGAAGTGCACCTGGCAAACATGCACACATATTCATGAGTCACTGTGTTCCTCAGGTTGAAAAAGCGTCAGGAGGAGGGTCAGTCAGAGGCCGGGAATTATGATGCTAGCGGCGACGGGGACGGAGAGGCAGAAAGCGGAGCCGCCGATGAGGACGCGAACGAGCCAGAACCAGGACCGGAAGCTGATCCCGAGCACGCTCCCGAGTCTGCCTCCAAACTGAGCATGTGCGGCTCAGTGTGTTCCTCCCCCGGCAGCTGCTAGCGCCACATCGCCTCACAGTGACGATGGCAGCTCTCTCTGGCGGCTGCGGTGTTTGTGCCATGCCAACAGATACCTTCTCACCTCTCTCTCATGTCGTAGCCTACAGCGGAGAAAAATGACAGCGGGGCAACTTGGCGCACAGCAGCAGCTCCCATAACGGTTCCCCTCATTTACACCCCCCGCCCCCCATAGCATCTTTTTGGTAAGGCATGAATGAAGCGGAATCCCAGAGAGTCCCTGCCTATTGTACCTACCGCCCTAGAGTAAGCTCCAACTTCTATGCAATGTTACAGTATAGCATGACAAAATAATAAGGTATCACTTACTAGGAGGTGTCGTTCCATAAGCAGAGAGCCACACGAGCATGATGACATCCCGAGCAATAGCAGTCTACGGCTTTTTGAATAAGGTTAGTGGTTTTGGTGGAGGTGCCTCCCTTTATTATCCCTGTTCCAGATCCGATGGGGGACGACTGAATTATTCATCACACGAAGGCACTCGGTTTATTTTATTGCCTGTGTCTTCAGTTCACTCTTCCCCCCCTTTCATGTGATGTGTGCCCTAATTTGGAACATTTTTTTCCTCCTGGAGCGCCTTCCTCTTGTTGCAACACCTTCCTGTGATACATTTCCAGTAAGTGTTGATGGCTGTCTGCAGTCAGCAAAGACAGTGTGACTGGTTTCATGTTGTAAACCTGTTTAAAGTTGTGCCTGTCAATGATGATCGGTATTTGTTAATCACACCGTAGCCATGGATGCGTTATAGGGCAGATTTTCCTCTTTTAAGTCTTAACCAGCTAGCTGTTTTTTCTTTTTTCCCCTTCAGGCCTTTTTAGGAGGAGAAGGTACTGAAGTTAAAATCAGTCCAGCAATCAGAATGAAAAGTTGTGCTTGTCACTGTGTCCAAAATGCTTACGAAGATTTAGTATTTTAGCCCTGCACCAAGCTCTGACCCAAAGAGGGTTCTGAAACTCAGCTCACTGCCAACAATGGCATCCTTTACACATCTATAAGAAAGCTCTGTTTGCTTTACTAGACTTCATCATCTTGTTAAGTGCTTAGTTTAGGATAAAGATCATCTCCCTGTAGAGGTTGGTTTGGGGTAGCTGTGCCCTGTCGGTACATCAACCTGCACAGATGAGCTACTCTTTGATTGTCGTAGTGAGAGTGGTACATTTTAGGGTGGCGCCGTTAATCTCAGTCTGAGAATATGTAGCAAAAGACCACCTTAAAAACCTGAAGGCCTAACAAATTGAAAAACCGTGTAAATAGCATACAGTGTAGGTAATTAAACTGACCACAGTTTTATGTGGGACTGCTAACTCGACGTGTAAACTTAAGGAAGAGCTGTGTGAAGCTTCACACCACTTCATCCCGCTCTTCTTTCCAAGTGTGCAGGCACAACTTGTAGGCAATATATGCCAAAGCTTTTCTACCATTTGCAACCATTTCTAAGGAACTTTGAGTGTGTGAATGTATGTCTCTTTATCCCTCTGATAACATAAAGTCAGTTATTTCTGCAAGTGAAGACATCGTAATTTATACAATCATAACGTGATGATGTGCAAACTGTCTATTTCAGGTAATGCATCTTGGGAAATACACCTGTTTGCTGTCTTGATGCAGCATTTCCACCAGTAAAGCTGTTTACCCCGGCAGCTTTGACTGACCTTTGGGGGTTGGAGCCACAATTTAATGTTGCACTCAGTTAATTTTGTGCCATTGCCTGCTGTAATGTTAATTGTGAGGTGCAGACAGAACAGTGTTGGCCTAAGTGCATCTCTGCACTCCCACTCTGCTCGGTCAACGAATGGTCTAGCCTCCACAGTGTAATTAGAGGACATGAGTGAAATATCACATGAACAGGTAAAACAGTATTAGCTACAATATTTGCTTTATTTACTTTTGCCTAAACAGCCAACAGAAACAGTTAATGCCCAGCTATTAACCAACTTGATGACTGAAGCTTTTGTATTTTAAAAAAAATTTGTTCTTGTGGCCAACAGGGGGATTAATTTAGGCCCAGTGGCTTTCCGGGGAAGATCGATACTCATGTCTTTGTTTTAAATAAAGAGCTAGAGTCAGGTAGTGATTAGCCTAGCTTAACATAAAGAGTAGCCACAGGGCAAAACACCTTACCAAAACCTGTAAAAGCTTAGAAGTTAACATTTGTCTTGTGTGATTAATTCTTATATAAATATTAATGTAGTGTTAATGTGCTCTGCTGGTTAAACAGCTAGATGTAGTGAATGAGTGGTCCTTAAAGGATGGATAAAACGTTCAACATGTAGCTACACCACTAACTGGGCTGCTGAACCACCAATGGTTTGATTTTGGGCTGATGGTCATGTGACAGGCAAGAGTTGGGATTTTGCTGGCAGGGCAGCTCTAGCTTTGTAACGTCTTTCTGTTTTTAAAGCTACAAATAAGAACTTGATAAATTCTGTGTTAATGTTCTTTCAGTGTTATAATGTGAGAGTTGCCTAGTAACAGATTGTTCTAACATAATTATGAAAAAAAGCCAAACTCTGATACATTTTATTCAAGTAATGTCACTTGATAGTAAAGTGTTACCAGTTGACATGTTTCAAATGGAAACTTGAATATCAATCTAACATGAAATATAAAGCACACAGAGCTCCGTATAGTCTACTGTAATAATACATAGCTTATTAATTCAGGTGTGGGCTTCTTCACTATTAGTCTCATATGACAGATCGATGTGTTAGCCTAGCTCACAATGAATATTTTTTCTAAGAGCTGAGTCGTTTTACTCACATGCAGTTTCGCACATGCAGGGTTGAAAAATATTTACAGTGTTCACAGTAACTCTGATATGATGTGAACATAGCATTAACCTCTATCAAAAGAGACAAAAGACAGTATCATATTTGGCTTATGACATGTTAGCTCTTAGCTAGCTTGCTAACATTCGACGCTAGGATACGGAGACTTGTGATTACAGCTTCTTCACACCAGCCTTTTTAATATGAAATACCAGGTAAACATGTTCTACAAATGACATTAATGAACGTTCTGTTATTTTAACTTTGAAAAGCTTTAATTAATGTGATAAGTTGACCTATGTTTATTTAGCATTTTATGTCAAAATCGCTGCTGTGTAGTCACCATAGCTAATTTTAAGCTAACCTAATAGCTGATACTTTCAAAACGCAGGCTGACTGCTTGATAAAGTTTTTTTTTTTTCTTAATAAAATGGATCTATTATTAAGCGCTTGTTGAATTTTTAAACCTCCAATAAAACTCAGACAAGTAGGAAGTTGATAAAATGACGTAACTTCCACTGTTAAGCTAGGCTAACAGTTCCCCAGCTCTAGCTGTACAGTTGACGCTCAAACGTGACAGATGCTTTCACCTTGTTCCCAAAGGGAAAGCAAATAGGTGTGTTTCCCAAAAGTAAGCTGTTTCTTTAAAACACTACATTATGATTAGATTAAGAAGCTTTCTTAAAGAGACATGAAATGTTATCTTCCAAGTCTGCCAAAACGTGTGAGAAATTGAATAGTCTTGAGCCTTGTGCTTTTATTTTTGCATGTACCTTTACAGTATAAGCCTGTTTTTTGCCAAAGCCTGGAGCTTGAGCCCTACCGGCTGATTTGTGCATGCACAAGCTTTTGGTAATAGCATACCTCGACGCTCACCTGATTATCGACACAGTCCAAAATCAGAGTATAACCGGCCTGCGTGACTGTTTACTTTAAGCTGTACAAATTGTATAATCCCAGTGTTACATGGACGGCATGATATTTTAGATGATATGCAGTACCTTTTTGACATCCTGTAGGTTGTCTTAATGCTTTGTTCCAAGTATACAGGCTCGTACCCTCATGGTGAGTGGAATGAGGTCAGCAGCTGTGTGTCTGTTGTGGATTAAGTGTTGCATTGTTGTCTCTGCAGCAGAAGATGAAGATTTGAAACTGGGGCATGTTTTCACTTCACCTCAATACAGAAATTGCTGCATTAAAAAAGAAAAACAAAAACAAAACAAAACAAAACTGATTGTCTCCATTTGTGGTTATTTCTCAGACTCTGTCGGCACAGCATCAGACTCACCGTAGGCCTGAGGAGTGTGTGGAACAATGTGTTAATTATGTAAATGGGAAATATTTGATTTTAACAGTTAATTTAGGCGTAACTTTTCTCAAAGTTACACCAAACTAATCTAGGCTTTCGTTCCTTGATATCAGTGATCATTCCTACTTGGATCGTGCGTGCAAACCCTCCCGACATATTTCTTCATGTATTAATGTTCTGTGTTTTAAAACAAGCCATCATGCTATATAGTTTGACCAGCAGCAGCATGTCTCAACCATTTTCTCACCGACTCTTTTGAGATTCTGTAGGTGTCTTAAGTCTGTGGTTACAGTTTGAAACTCAGTGCCCCGTCGAGAAAAGAAATCAAGAAGAAAAATGTGATCCATGCCACTCGTTTCCGCCCTTATGATCCTACTTTGCATAATGTTCTTGTGCTGCAGGATTTTTACAGGGAATCAGTAAAAGGCCTTGTTGCTGAAACGGAAACTGCTCCGTGTGTTCAGAAAACATGCTGCTTCAATCGCTTTGATAATGAAAATAAATCTCCTTCCAATAATTTGGCGTGTGTGTCATTTTTACCCAAATGCAGCTTTAATGGCAAAGTTTGTTTGCAGACAGTAGGGGGCAGTGAAGAGCAGGGGCATGTACTGGGTGAACAGAGGCGTCCCTGGTGAACTGATCTCTAAATAGCAGCGTACAGTGAAGAGGAATCTAGGACTGACTAGAATAGAGACAAGGCTGTCACAGGATTTGTAAGTATACATAATGCAGAGGCTTGGCTTTGTTCAAAACAATTCCTCTTTTTTTTTCTTTTTTTTGTATGATACAAACTTCATATGGAAAAATATAGAATAAATGCATAAACAGTTTCTCTTTAACAAGAAAATTCAAAGTCCACCCTATATGGATGTCTGCTTGGCTCAGGACTGGCTTCTCTCTACTGGATCTTCAAGGATGTCCACAGCCGTCTTTCCCACATTGTCCATCAGGTGGCGCCACTTTGGGGCCTCAATGGCATCCAGAAGAGCAGCCAGCTCAACCTCCAACTTTTCAACTGTGTCCTCCACTTGCTGCAGGAAGCGTGACACATGCGTGGTTGACAAGTAAATAATACATTAATAAGTTGTAGTATGAATAATAGAATCATCACTGATGAATAATGAATCTGAATGAATAAAACAGTTTCCCAAAACAGCTGGTAACGCAAGGTAAGGTCTGATTAGGACTGGGGTTTGCTGGATGAGATGATGTAGAGATCTGGAGTAGATCACTAGTGTATTAATAATGTTATGAAAAAGGAAATGTTGAGGAATATTGGGCATTCGTTCTGTCAAAACCAAGGAGGGAGGGACTTCCAAACCCTGATGGTTTCAAACCACTGAGGCCTAAATGTGAGGTTAGATTAGAAACTACACCTTCTCCACTACATCCAGGCGGTGGTGAAGATTCGTGTGCTCCTGACAGGCGCTTGAACGCACTGCTTGAGGCAGAAGGTGGGGCTCAGGACCTGAAAACACATTAGATGTATACTCAGTGTTACAGATGCACAGTATAAGCAAACAAGATATAATAATGAATCATGAAAGGTACTTAATAATATGCTGTTTTTAACACCGTATGAGAGACGAGAATAAGGAGATGAATTTATTCCTGTGAGCTTAACAAAACTTTAGTCACACACTACAGGAACTAGCCAGCTGATTAGGAGAGCTGAACTAAAAGACGGATCACTCATCTGTTTTATATCAGCTCAGAGTTGTGTAATCCTAGGCTCACTGTGTTCACGCAGGATTGGAGGTAAATTAGAACAATGCAACTGCATGCAAAGATAATGCAAAAGCAGGCATGTTTTTACGGGACATGCAGCTGCTGGTCACAGTTTAATTATGCACGGGAAGCACATCATTTAAACATGGCAGTGTCTTAGCAGTGCATAGCCATAAGATGTGAAATCTGCCATTTACCTACAACTCTGGGCTTAATAGGGCTGTTTTCCCCCCAAAGCATGAATACATTTAAAAAATAGAGCAAGCTTCAAATAATAACCACATGGGTGTGGTTCAAACTGAATATTCTTGCCAACATACTGTAGCTTTACGAAGAATAATGTACAAACTCTTGCCTCTTGTTTCTAACATCATTGTAACCACTAAATAAGAAATAAAGGCACTTCCTGTCAACATTGCTCATATCTATGAGTCCAAAGTGTTTTTTATACACAATATTTGGCAACCTAAAACCCTTTGTTGGCAAACCGTGTGGAGTTTACCACATCATGGGAAATGTTAACAGTCTGATGAAAATCTTGATGGGTCTTGATAATCATTCAGAAATAAAACAAAATCCAATTAAATCCAGTTCGTTCCTGCTTTATGAGATAATAGCCGTACTTGACGGGTGGGTAAACAGAGTTCGTATCTTGTGGCCATGCATTACTAAGATGTTGCCACAGTGCCTTATTAACTTGTGGTCAGGACTTCATTATCACATTCTCATGTATTACTGACTCGTGGTGAAGCAAAATTTTGTGGCTACCCACTAATATTTCTTCCATCCATGCCACCAAAAAGGCTCTGGATTTGTTAGCTTGAGTGGCAGCTCGGGGCTTTGTCAAACTGTTTCAAAAACCGAGAGAGAAGAGGAGTTAAAAGACAACAAGACTGGAGGGAAATATGAGAAGAAGAAGAGTTCATGGTGAGGTGAATTAGTCTAAGGACAAAAAACACTCCCAAACTGGCGTCTGTGCTAGCTAGCTTGCATCTATCATCATCTCTACATTTGTCTCACTGAGTGTTTGAGGATGAAAATGTATTTCCTGCTCTGTCTGAGAGGTTTTAGAGGAGCTTGTGGCTGATTTTGTTCCCTTCAGACAAAGCCAGTTTCATTATTTCTTATGTTTTCCACTATTTCTGTCAAGCTAAGCTAAACAATTGACTGTAGTTTGAAGTTTTCTTACTACAATGATCGTACCATATGAATGTATATGCATCTACAGTCACGAAAGTCAACAGAGTTTTGTTTGACTAAACACTTAAAAACATGGTGACCAATTAGAACTGAAGTCCTTATAAATCATAGACATACAGCGTAACAAACGATAATAATTCTTTCTAGCCAAGCTGAAGACAAACAGGACTTAAACCCTACGCCAAGTACTCCTAAAACTATGTGAAACCTTTCGTTTTTAATTTTTTGTGTTGTCTCTGTGCCGTTAACATTCATATTATAGAGAATATTAATATATTTCAAATATAAATGAATTATTCTGAAGGTTAAATAATCAGCCTGCAGATAAAACCTTCAGATTGCCTGCAAACATGTGAATCCAGTAAGATACCATGTGTACTTTAAATGCGATTTTAAGTTATTGATGGGTGCTGTGTCCCTAAGCCCCTTGAATGTGTCTTTTAAATCTATATGTTAAATGCGTGCAGCGTTTGGCCATGCAAACACAACGGTACTCCATGTAAACAAGCTCAAGAATTACACGTTGGGTTTAGTTTGTCTTTAAAACTGAAAAGGTTTCTGTGCAGACTGACTTTATCTTGCAAAGAAAACAAATATCAAAGTTTATATTATTGTTACATGTCCTTATAAAGAAACAAGTCTTTGCCATCTGATGTACATCTTTAATGTAGAGCTGAAAACTAACCAGAGGAAATGTGCTTTTAGCTTATGTTGCTTATCTGCTCGTTTCCAAATGCAATGCTCCTTTTAACAGTTTATATTTTCTTGAATTATGTGACTCTTTAGTTAAACAGCAGCCGATTGATCAGGCCTACTTGAAGGCCACAGTTAGTATGCTGAGGAGACAGCCGTGATGCTTGGTGTTAATTCGCTTCAGCAGGCCAGAGAGGGCCACATGCATTGTCCCAGGCATTTCCCTTCTCACACTTAAGTTTCCAATTATCTGTTTCTCTTTGAAGCCCGGGTATTTGGGGGACGCTTCCGTTCACTTGCAGCTCTCTGCTTCTTTTTTTAACGTCTTCTTATCGGCGACAGGCCAAGCTCCCCTTGATAGTATTTATTCTTTATAAAGTAAAGTGACTGTCTCATCCACTGGCTGAATGCTTGCAGCTGTGAAGTCACTCTCATTTAGAAACAACGAAACACTTGGTGTGAATGTAGACGGCTAAGGCTTGACAGCATGTTATTGAGAATTAGTGATCTTTATGAAGTGTTTGGCTGACCCTGACCCCTAACTAAGTATTGTAGTTAGGGGTCAATTAGTCATTTTTTCTTTTGTGGCCAACACACAAAGAGTTGTACTCCCTTGTTCAGCTGTACCTGAACATCAAGCTGCCCTGATTTTACCACAGCCTCTCATGGAAACATTTTTACAAGCACCATTATGGTGTCCAGCGAGTGCCAAGTTCAGTACATGCAGGAATCGGGCCAAGAAAGAGCGATGGATGATGGAAGGTACATTAAATTCATCAGGCTTCCCAGCAAGCGGACTAAGCAGATGTCTGCCTCGGTGTGTGCTCCGCAGTGGGGGTTTTGTTGCACTCACTCTTGTGTATGAGGACTTGGCAAAGCTCGCTGCTTTGATTTGACAGTGACAGATGAATTATGAAAAGTCTGCAAAAGACATGAAGTTTTCCTACACTGGATCTACACTAAAGAGCCAGATGTGAATTTATCAAAGTGGCGGTTCTCGCTGTTGCATCTCACAACAACCACAATCTTTTGTTGTAGTGAATGTGCTGCTGGTTTCAAAATCAAAAACAACAGGGGGAAGAAAGGGGGATCTGGTTGGGAGTGAGGGGGGCTGAAATCCCTCCAAACCACAACTGCGCTTCCATCTAAGTGTCAGCGTGTACACAGCGCAGCCTGCTCTTTTAGAGTAAAACTTGCAACGGGGAGCTACATGCTGAAGTTTGTGATGTATGTGGCACCCACTGAGTCTGCCTTTTTTTGCAGATGCAATAGAAAGGGG